TGTTTGCCTCTCCCTGGACCAACGCCACGCTGGGTGGTGGAGGTGCCGAGCAGGCTGGCGGAGAAGAGAGGAAAGGACTTTCAGGATAAGCAGTGTGGTCTGAACACAAACAGGACAAAGGGGAAGTTCAAGGCCCCATATGAGGATGACAAGTGATGATGTCATTTGGAGTCTGGGGAAATGGGTCAGGGACTGAGGAAAAGAAGTGACGGTAGCAGGGGACGCAGAGTACGGTGAGCTATTAAGAACTTGCCCCTTGCAGTGCTAAAAGGTGTCTACAGGCGTGGAGACGGTGACTGCTGTCCTCGAGAGCTAAGGAAGTACACAGAAACAGATGACAAAATACAGAAGGGGTGACAGTGCCACGAGAGCATCACCAACCACGTGCTCCAGGGCCAGTAGAAATCGCGTGTCACCTCATTCCCCACCCACATGGGACTTCACCTCTGCTGAACCCCTGGAGGACTGGCAATGACCCAAACGTCCATCAGACGGTAAATGGATAAACAGATCATGGTGGAGCTGTACAGCGGAGTACTGGTCAGCACTAACTAGGAATGAACTACTGATACACGCTGCAACATGCATGAATCTCAAAATAATTATGCTAAGTAAAAAAAATAAGACCAAAGAAGAGAACATATGGTTTCATTTCTATAAAGTTCTAGAAGATGCAAACTGATCTAATGTGATAGAAAGATCAGCAGCTGTCTGGATAGCAGGTGAGGGGGGTGAGATGGGGCTAGGGCAGGCAGGGGCAGAAGGAAGGGGCTGGAAGAACCATTTGGGGATGATAAAGATGTTCATTATCTTGGTTGTAGTGACTGTCCCACTGTTACATACCTAAAACTTACCGAACTGTACCCTTTAAATATATGTAGTTTATTGTATGTCAATTATACACGACAAAGTTGTATAAAAACATCACCCTTGCCTTAGACTTGATTCTTATTTAATAGGCCGGGGCCAGCACACAAGCGCCAGTGTTTTTCCTGCGTTCCCAAGGTGAGCCTGCTGCGGAGGGAGGTTGATATCCCTGGACCTAGTAATATCTGAGCTGCTTCCTGGTTCTCAGATTCTGTCTCTTTGTAACAGGAGGATTTCTTGATGGACATTAGGAAAGTATGTTCTTGCTCATGTGGAGTCTGAGGCCTTGCTAAGACCAGGAAGGGGCCACTCCTTTCCTGCTGGTTACTCCTGCCTCCCTTCTCCCACTGGGACTCAGGGTGAAGTCGGTGTGGGCTTTTCCCATGGGGGTCCCTCTATGATGGTCTCTCAATGTATGTGATGCTTGTTCTCAGGCCACACCCACCCTAACCTGCTCCGGCCTCATGGTATCATGAACTGTTAAGGGTCACCATGTCCTCCCTCATCCCCCTGTCTGTGGGACACCTGCAGGCCATTTACGGTGCACGTCCCCTTGCTCAGAAGGGGCAGCTCTCCGGAGAAGCCCGCAGCGCTCTCATCTAATCAGCGGATCTTCATCAAAATGAAGAAGTTCCTGTTTAGCACCTTCTGGGGGTTTCCGGCTGAGCTTTCTGGTGCCTCACACACCACATCACACAGCTCTTCGTGCCAACCCTGCCCAGAACACGTATTCAAGTGCTAGCTGCCTGCAGGGCACAATGAACCCTCACCCCTTGGCCCAGACTCAACCTCAGATTTTGTGGGTGGTTCTCTTGGGACCTCCTAACCTCTGAAGCAACAGACCAGACTGAATGCCTCTGGCAGGGAGGAGAACCCAATGCCATTCTCTAACCCTCAAGGACTCTGCTCTCTCCAAGAAGATACGTGTGCCATCTCTCTCCAGATGGCTCCCTGCAGGAGGGCAGGCCAGGCTGACATGCAAGCCCAGCAGCAGTGCCCTCCCAGTAAACCCTGGCCATTTCTTTTCACCTGAGAAATGTCCTCTCACGCTCCCTGCTTCATTTACATACATCATATTAAGTTCCTTTTCCATTACATTTCCGAGTTCTCTCCCATTTCAAGTTCCTCCACAATATCTCTTATTCCATGATTAATTGTGAAAGGTGGGTAGAGGATAAAGTAGGGACATTTTTAGGAGGGGTGGGAGACAGGCAGTCACCAACATGACTTTTGCCCCCGCTGTTGAGATTTGGGGTTTGCCTCTGGTGGCTCTTTGCATTTGGTGGCATCACAGCAGTTTTTATCACCAAAATATTTCCAGATGGATTTGGAATTTTTTTTTTTTTTTTTTTTTTTAGCATCCTGGTAGTTGGTCTGCATTAGCAGGTTAAATGAATAGCCAAATTATATAAATATCATTCATCAATAGAAAAAAGTGCAGGTGGAGAGTTGGAGAAGGAGAGAGATGTGTCACCAGATGGCACTGTTTAAAAGATAAGGAAGCAAGAAGGCTCTGGCTGGGTAGCTCAATTGGCTAGAGCATGGTCCTGATGCACCAAGGGTTCGGGTTCAATCCCCGGTCAAGAATCAACCAATAAAGGCATGAATAAGTAGAACAAATCAATACCCCCCCCCATTCACTCTCTCTAAAATAAATCTAATAAATAAATAAATAAATGATAAGGAAGTGAGAGAGTTGTTTCTATGGCTAATCTTAGCAAAAGATTGCCAGATGCTGGAGCAGGTTGAACTTCTGGAAAAGCCCACTTTAGCACTCCTATGCCAAATGAAGCTCACTTTCAGTTTTCATGATGGCAGTGACAGAATGCATAAATATTTCAGGATTGTTTATGGATATGCCGTGAGAACAGAGAAATGTAGTCAGAGGGAGGACCCACATCCAATGTCAGGAGCTCCCTCCCTGCCACAGGCTGTTCACGTTTCTTTAGAGGTTAGCCTGCTTTGCCCACCTGTCTGCCCAGGCCCTAGGCTGTCCACCCATCTCAATGAATCGCATAACTATCCATGAGGACACTGAATTCACTCACTCAGCATCCACCCATTTCAACTTCTTTTTAGTGTGTCTCCCAGTTGTAACAGAAGCTTAGAATCAGATCCTCCAGCATCAGCCAAGCTTTAAAAAAAATCCTTCAGATGACTGCAACTCCTTGTGAGACTCCGAACCAGATTCACCCAGCTAAGACTCCTGAATCCCTGATCTGCAGAAACTGTGAGATATTGATTATCTTATAATTTACTATTTGTTATTGCTTTAAGCTTCTAAGTTTTGGAGTTATTTTTTCCACAGTGATAGGTAATTAACGCACTAGGTGAAATAATTTAACATATGGTAATTTCAACAACACAAACTGGAGATTGAATCTTGGACACGCTATGCGGTGTTTGCCTTCAATTATCAGTAAAAATTGGCAGTAAATGATACCACAAATAAAAATTATGTTAATTAGCCCTGGATGGTTTGGCTCAGCGGTTAGAGTGGCAGCCCACTTTGCAGGTTCAATTCTGGTCAAGGGGTCAAGGGCGCGTACCTCTGATGCAGTCCAGTCCCTGGCCCTGATCGGGGTCGTGTGGGAGGCAACCAATCAATGTGTCTCTCTGACATAGATGTTTCTCTCTCTCTCTCTTCCCCCCCCCCCCTTCACACTCTATCTGAAGATAAATGGAAAAATATCTTCAGGTAAGGATTAAAAAAAATTATGTTAATTATATGAAGACGGGAGAACAGTGTGACACTGAGGCTTGCTTTTATAGAACTTTAAGCCTGCCCCATAAGTTTCTTTGAAGTCTTCTTGTAGCTTTTCATCACCATTTTAGAACACTAACTGTAGTATGTAATCTGTGGTTTTGGGCTACCATCCCTTTCTCTTTCTTGAGAAACAAAATACTTCTTCTCCTTTTGGGGAAGTTGGGATCTCTAGTTCATGTTGGTCATGTGACTTCATTGGCTCTGCCTTAGGGGTGGGTGTGAAATCAAGTTTGTCAATTGGGATCCTTTATCAGGATCAATAAGTGAGTGAGGAACATAAGCTTTCTTGAGGGGTTGTACTTGATTCCTAAGGAAGGTATCCTAATGAAGAAAGCCTGTGGAGAATGAATCCAATGCAGGAAAAGTGAGCGGAAAGATAAAGATATATAAAGAGAGGAGAGGAAAGGAAGGGGAACTGGGAGTGGGGGTGGGGGAAGAAGGGGGAAGAACTATTTAATCCTTGCCACACTGATCCAATTACATTGTCTCTGCTTGCTTGTAGATCTGCTACTTTATCTCCAAATATTATATATAGGGAGACCTGTAACAAATAAATATTGAAGTTGCTCTTGGGAATTCATTGTGAACAATTTCTCTTTTCTGGAGTGGGGATGAGAGTGCCCAGGCTCCGATACATAAGGGCTGAGTCACTCCATGAAACTACCCACTTTTTAGACTATTTAGCCATCTTATTCTAACGTTGCTTTATCAAATTGCCTTTAAACCAGACATCATTGCAATAATTGCCTAATTAATGTGTTGGAAAACATCTTTGATACATTTCCATTCTATTTTGTAATAAGAGTCATGTTCATAACTTTTTTTTGAAAATTATACCTACAATATTAATCCCTCATTATAAATAGATTCCCTCTTTGCATATCATCTGCCTATTAACTTGGTCCACAGTGTCCTTTTGAAGTTTTAAAAAGTCCTCTACCTCCCCCGCCCCAGGATACTCTTTCACGGAATATCGTCTACATAATTTTCAGCTTCCCACCTGTTCAAAACCCTGCCCTGGGGAGTTCTGATGGGAGGCTCTAATTAAAGTTGAATTGCCGCTACCGCAAAGCCTAGATTTATGAACAAATAAACGAAATCACCGCCTCAGTGACCTGGAGCTTGCGGGGCGGTGCACGGCACGGCCGTGGCGTGAGCTCTGCAGCCTCGCTGAGGCCGCCCGGAGCAGCACCGGACCTGCCCGGGCCGCGGCGGGCCGGGCCTCCCGGGGTGGAGAGGGGCGGGGCGGCGCCTCCGGTCCCGCCCGCCTGGGGGCGGAGACAGGCGGGCCGCGCCGTCAGCTGACTCGATGACTCGCCGGCGACCCGCTTCCTCCCGCGGGCGGTGAGGTGCCGCTCGAGCCGACCCGCAGACCCAGGCACCGAGCAGCCAGGCGGCCATGGAACTGCGCGGGCTGGGGCTTCCGAGGCTGCCCGGGCTGCTGGCGGCGCTGGCGGCGCTGGCGCTGCTGTCGGAGCAGGTCCCCTGCACCTTGGCCTCGTGGAGACCGACCCTGTGGCCCCAGCCGCTCTCGGTGCAGCTGACCTCGCGCCTGCTGCAGCTGTCCCCCGACGACTTCTACATCACCCACGACCCCTCCTCCAAGGCCAGCTCCTCCTGCACCATCCTGCAGGAAGCCTTTCGGCGGTGAGTGCTCCAGCCCGGCGGCCGCGGGGGGCCCGGGACCCCGTGGTGGCCACCCTGGGGCGCCGTGCAGGCGCGGGACCGAGGGGCGGACACCTGCACAGCCGCCGGTCTCGCCGGCGTCTTACCCCCATTTCACAGACCAGGAAACGGTCTTTGAGCTGGTTGGTAACTTGGCCAGGCTAGAAGATGGCAGCCAGCTCGAAACACGGACCGACACCCGAGTTCTTCCCATCCCCTCCTGCCTCCTCAGGGTCAGCCTGGGCGCCCAGGAACCCTGGTTTGCTGAGGGATGCTCCGGCCAGGTTCCCCTCCGAGCGGAGTGAAGGGTGAGGGAGGGTGAGAGGAAGGGAGGAAAAAGGCAGCTTCTCACCCGAAGGGAGTTTTAGGAGGAAGATAAGTGCTTAAAGTTTGGGGCGGTTCCTCGAACTTGATTGTCATTTATAGGCCATCTCACCAACCACCCCTACTCTGGTGACAGTTCAGATGGCAGAAAGGCCTTAGGTGGGCGCATACTGTCTGAAACTACCCTTCCCTCCCAAAATCTCTGTTCCAAAATGTTCGGTGTTGTCATCTAATTACTTTGACGTGGTCAGTACACCACAGCATCTAATTTTTGTTTCCCAGCACCAGTCCTGTGCTTGCTCTCTCTCGACTTCTGTTCAGTTTTTTATCAGCTCACAGGCAGGGTGAATTGTGTAAAGAGGAGATAGTTCAACATCCCACATGCTGTCCCCTCACTGTGAGACACCTGTAGGCGGGACTGTCCTGAAGGTGAGTTAGTGCCCTGAAGGGTTGTAAATAGGTCCTGTTTGTACTGTCTCCCCCCATGCCCCTGGTTTTGTCTCTGTCTCCAGTGGGTAGTGTAGCTTAATAACACCTGCTGGCTCCAGGCAGGCCTGAGGCTTCAGCTCAGAGCTGAGAGCAGAGAAGGCTCATCCTTGCCTTCAGTTTTGTACAACTAAATGGATATTGTTACCTTCATTTTAGACGCATACCCTAATGAGACTTTGGTATGGAACATACTAACAGGTCAGAATGGCTGGAGTCCAGCTGAAGAAGTAAAAAACAAGGTGGTTGGTTGCCTAGTGTATTGAGAAGGGAAAAGTACCTGAGAGTCATCTAAAGGAAGATCACGGCTTGGCAATCTTTTAAAAACAAACACACCTATCATATTTGCTTTGGGACTCAGTTTTTAAGACTGAGTTTTCCTTCTGTGCCATGCCACTAGTAAAACAAGGACCTGGTAATATGCTGAAGTGATGTGAATATGCAAGAAAGCATGGTGACAAGTACACAATGGTAAGATAACCAGGACTTGAGTCAGCTGTGAGTTGGTGTAAAAGCAAGGCTTGGCATTCCAAGGCTGTGTGGGTAATTATCTGGAGTTTGCCTAACTAATTCATGCACCGGGCATGAAGCAACTATTAATTATACCCTGCTGTTGTTAGGAAGCAGGTTGTAAAACAGCCCTTATGGCTAAGCCTTGAAAGCATTCAGGTGAGTGTTCTAGGAACTCGGGAGGGGCAGTGTCTATTTCAGAGTAAAAGCATGGTGGGTTTGGAAAGATTTAGAGATGATGGAGACATTCCAAAGCTTCCAGCAGCTGGGAACTCCCAGATCCTAAGCCCCAGATTGTTCAGGATCCCATGGCTCCTGTCTTCTTCTCTTGAGTCCAACTTCTGTGGCGAACTGCTTTGCAGCAGTCTGCATGTGCAGGCAGAGCTGTGTGGTGCATGGCTGCTTCCTCGGCCTCCAGAACAAGGTCCATCCCATGCTAGTTTATTTCAAGTGGACAGATAGCTTCCCTTTCAGCTCCCGAAAGGCTGAATTAACCCAGATATAGGCATGCCTCAGAGATATTGCAGGTTCAGTTCCAGCCATGGAAATAAAGCAAGCCTCACATAAAGTGAGTTGCAGTCTGTATGCCTTTAATTTGTAAAAAACACATCTGTGAAGCACAAGAAAACGTATGCCTGTACCTTGGACACCACTGCCTTTGAACCCTCTGAGTTTGCTGTTAAGAGTTTTAAAATCCAAGGCCAAGATTTTCTTTATTTGGGACAAGCCAGCATCTAATGTAGTAAAATACACATAAGATTGCAGTCTTAACCATTTTAAAGTATAGAGTTCAGTGATCTTAGTTTCCTTTAGAATCTGTCAAGGTTTTTCTGTGAAAAGGGCCCTCAGCAGCTTCCTCTATTCCACTTACTGGTTAACTTCCATACACTTCCAAACTCATGGCAACTTTCCTACCTCTCCTTACTTTGGAAAAATACAAGACATTCATACACATAAGTAGCATACACAACCTTCTGGCTTATCAGCATCTATAAAATATTATTTAGCCCTGGCCAGTGTGACTCAGTTGGTTGGATGTTGTTCCTCACACCAAAAGGTTGCTGGTTCGATTCCCAGCCCCTAGTATGGGGTATGCAAGAGGCAGCCGATGGCACGTGTGCTCTCACATCAATGTTTCTCTTCTCCCCTCCTCTCTCTAAAAATCAATAAAACTATTCTTTAAAAAAAAAAAGCCACAAAAAATATTTAAACAATTGCTTTGAAGCCTATCTGATCTTTTATCATATTCAAGTGTGTATTTAATATCCTCTTTCTCTGATACTTGGGTAACAGCATATGGTAAATTGTCAAGGCCCTAGTGAGAATTACATGGTCTGGTGATATTTCTTGGAGGTTTATGTATTAGCTGGGACATTTTTGTTGGAAGGTAACAGGAACCTTGACTCTATGGCTTAGCAATAAGAAAATCTGTTATCTCACATACCAGGAAGTCCAAAAGCAGGGAGGATTTCAGGGATGGTTGACTAACTTGTCTCAGCAGGATCATTAGGAAATCTGTCTTCCTTCCATCTCTGCTCTGCCATCTTTAGTGTGGGTGCACCTGGTCCAGGTATCACACACAGAACGTATTCTTGTAGCTCACTTAGGAGAGGAAACTTCCTCCTATATCCCACCCCCACCCCATCACTGGTCAGAATTGGCTTGTACACTCAAGAGTGATTGGATTACCATCACTGGTTTGATTACGATTACTGGTTCTTTATTGGGGACTTCATAAGAATCACCTAGGAGTGTGGAGAACTTTTGAATTTCCATACCTGGATCCTACTCTCCAGGATCCTAGTTCTAACGGTCTGGACATCAGTGTTTTCAAAAACTTCCCAGGTGATTCTAATGTGTAGTTTGGGGTGAGAGCCTACAGTTGGACTAACATGGGATGGCATGGATTTGAGGGGTCAACTACAATGTCTGCTACCACATATGTATTTAAAACTTGGCTGAAGTGGTTTAACATTTGTTTGAATTTATTTCTCACACAGATATCATAACTACATTTTTGGAACCCACAAGTGGCAGCGTCCCTCTACTAGATTTCATGATAAAGTGGACGTGGAGAAACTTCTCGTCTCAATTGTCCTTGACTCAGAATGTGAAAGCTTCCCCAATATCTCTTCAGATGAGTCCTGTGAGTACCTGTGTAATGTGAACGTATCATGTTTAAAGCTTTTACAGACTTATGTGCCAAAAGCAGCCTCCATGCCATGAGCTATAATGAGTTCTTGGCTAGTGAATTTCTAATTCCTGTTTTTAAAAGTACAATTAAAGCCCTGGCCAGTTTGGCTGAGCGGTTAGAGCATCAGCCCGTGGATCAGAGAGTCCTGGGTTTGGTTCCCGCTAAGGGCATGTACCTGGTTGCAGTTTGTCCTCAGCCCTGGTTGGGGTCGTGTGGGTGGCATCCACTTGATGTGTCTCTCTTACGTCAATGTTTCTCTCTCTCTTCCTCCCTCTTTATCTGAGGCAAAAATGTCCTCGGGTGAGGATAAAAAAAAATAAAAAAAAAAATCCTACAATTAAAATCTAATGATAAAAGTACAGTAAGTGAAGAGGAAATAAATCATTCATAACTCCAGCACTCAGTTAATCACTATTATTTCAGATTTTTTAAAAGTATAAATATTTTACAAATGTATAAATATAAACATGGTACTGACATGAAAATGAGTTAATTCTGCACATGTGGTTTTGTATTTTGTTTTTAAAATATAACAATACATTATAAACATGTATTTCACTAATTATTTTTCTGTTTAGTGAGACTTCATGTTTAATGGCTTAGTAATGCTCTATCACGATCTGGATGTGCCATAACTTACTTGACTACGGGTATTTTTGGACATGTAGGTAATTTCTTAACTTTTATTTTGAAGACACATCTATGCTTATATCCATTGTCTCTATTTAAAATCTAATTAGACAGAAAGACAATGCAGAACTCAGGGAAGATGGAGCTATTTTATTTGCTTAATAATATAATCAACATTTAGTTACATGATTTTTTTGGTTGCCTAAAACATTCTCTAAGGCTTTTCCCCAATTGTTTTGGAAGGAATAAACAGTTGGGCAGGCCTATTCCATAGGATGTACTCAGTGGGAACAATGTGGAATTGTACCAAGGATTCAGTGGAGCGATATGAAGACATGGATGACATAGATTAGTGCAGAGAGCAGACTGGTGAGCTGGGTATAAAAATAGAAAGGATACTGTATATGAGAAAAGAGTGACTCTTTTGTCCTAGACTGCCCCATCCTCTTGGTATAGATGAAATTTCTTAAGAATACATTTCTCTTCAATGCTATAGCTGTTCTTGAAAGGGAAACAGGATAATTTGCCAACATTAACCGTGTGGTTTCATTTGACAGTACTCAGACACTATATGAATTAGGTTTCGCAATCTGAATGAAGATAGAAATGATCATTAAATTATCATGGAATCTTTGCTGACTGTTGTCATTATAATAACATATTACACATTCCAGAAAAGAGAGACCAGAGAGTTACAGCTTGTCTTCCATTCAGCTTTGCACACCCTTTTTATTCTGAATAGGAGTTTGTTGAGACAAGCTGATTATGAAATTTTCTCATGGAAGGATCAACTAGTTTCAAGTTTTAAACAAGTTCCTGATGACAACGATGATAAAAGTGACACACACAAATGAAAATAAGATATCAACTTTTGTTCAAGTGTGAGGAAATATCAAAGGAAGTGACAAGTATTACAGAATTGTCCACTAATAAAAATCAGAACCAAAAATGGACTAGTTTCTACTATAGAGAAATAGTTACATATATCAAGAAAGTTTGATACAATTTGCTTATGTGTGTTTATGTATCAGCAGGAGCACACATAAAGCAATTCTATATTTTCTTATTACACATACATGTATGAAAATCCTGATGTTTCCTCTGAGGACAATAGAGGGAGTTGAGTGGGCATCTCAAAGGAGACCTGTAATATTTCACAGTTTTTAAAGAAGAATATATTTTTTTTATTTTTGTTTTTTATATTTTTCTTTATTGATTTTAAAAGGAGAGGGAGAGAGAAACATTGATGAGAGAGAACATCAGTCAGTTGCCTCCTGAGCACCGCCCCTCCCTGGGGATCATCGGCCCTCAGCCTGGGCCTGGGCCTCTGGGAATGGAACCAGCAACCTCCTAGTATAGGGGTTAATGCCCAACCACTGAGCCATACCGGCCTGGCTAAAGAATATATTGATGTTATTTGTATGCACACCCTTTAAAACAAAAGTATGGCCTGGCTGGCATGGCTCAGTGGATTGAGCATTGTCCCATGGACTGAGAGGTCCCAGTTCAATTCCTGGCCAGGGCATATGCCTGGGTTGCGGGCTCGGTCCCTGGTTGGGGAGCATGCATGAGGCAGCCAATCCATGTTTCTATCTCTCTCTCTCCCTTCCTCTTCTCTCTAAAAAAAAAAATCAATAAAAATATCTTTTAAAAAATATTAGAAAGAAAAAAGAGTATTTTGCAAAAGTACAGGAAGGGGCCCTGATCTGCGCACTAAAGGTGGCTGGTTCAGCTCCTGGTCAGGCACACGCTCAGGTTGTGAGTTGAATCCCCAGTCGGGGTGCATGTGGGAGGCAACCGATGGATGCTTCAAGTACATGCAAAATGTTAATGTTTTTAGATGACTCTTTGTGCTATTTCTGTAAGATCCCAAAACTCTAACATGGCAAAAAATGATTTTTAAACAGTGATCAGTGGAACCGTTAGCTCTAGGTAGCTACGATTTTATATAGATGGAGAGGAGTCATGATTGGGTGTAGTCATAATAGCAATACTGTTCTTAGTCTGGACTTTAGCTAACTCATCATTTGGTCTTCTGGTGGAAAAGGCTACCTTGTCAGAAGACTGCCTCCTGAGAGTGTCACACGATTACTAGCTGTTGATGGAACTCTTTTCCTACCTGCAGCTAACTATCTTATCTTAGGGTGGTGGTGGAGGGTGATGATGTAGCCCAGATGCAATAGTGAATCATTAACCTGCAGCCCCTGAGTGTCTTATCTGTGGCAAAGTCTACATCAATTACCCGTTAGTTTTCAGTCAGTTTTCAGTCGGTCTGTGCTGTCTGCTTTACTTTACCTGTGGTGGCTCCACCCCAAACTGAAAAACTAAAATTACTAGGGCCACCTTGGGTAGGGTATGATTTCAAGGACTGAAAGATTTAGCCCTCCCCCGCCCATGCCCAGTAGTGGAGCCCCTTGACGAGTGTACACTTTTTATGGAGTGGGACAAAGCTGAATTAAGCCAAAGTGAATTAGGAAATCAGTCTTCAGGCATATTTCAGGGGTTACTTGGGAAAGGTGGGTGCAGGGCAAGTAGAGAAGCACAGGAGGAGAAGGGAAAGAGTAGGAGAGACCCTTCTCTGGCCTGACGGGAGTGGAAGATTTGAGCTATACCAGGGGTTTCACCAAAGAATTGTGGGTATTGAGGAATGTTTGCACTTTTGACTTAAAATCTCAGCTTAACTATAACCCTACTCTGTTGAGGGGCAGTTGGAGATGATAAAATGCTCCTGGAGGGAGAAATGAGGATAATCATGGAGATGACCTCCAAGTTCCTGACTTGAACTCAGCTGGCTAAAGGGTGGTGCTGCGACTCGGAAGCGGAGAGCAGGAGACGGGCAGGTGAAGTGTGTGGCGCAGGAAAGGGGAAGGAGTTCGGTGTTGAGCGTGTGGAGTTAAAGGAATCTCCAGGACATCTTAAGTGAAGATATACAGGAGCCAGTTGGAGCTCAGGAGAAAAGAATGAAATACCAATTACATGTTTAGGAAATTTATTGTGTGTCATTGAAGGATGAACAAATTTTGTTTTTCAATACAGATACTTTACTTGTGAAAGGACCAGTGGCTTTGCTCAAGGCCAACAGAGTCTGGGGAGCATTACGAGGTAAGGTCTATGTAGTTTCATGGTTATTTTCTAGTAAAGAAATATTTTCAGTTGGTGCTTTGGGAAATCAAGCACAGCAAAGCTTAGCTTCCTTGGACACTTTACAGAATGGCTTGTTGAGTAGTTCCAAACTTATTTCAGTTTTACCTTTTAAGAATGCTTGAGGGTTATTACTTTCAGTGCTGTGATTCACTGATGCTCTTGGAACTGGAGTGTACTAGAGCTGTGAATGGCCCCAACCTGATCGGATGGGGGGACTCTGTTTCACTGTCACTTCTTGCTGCCTTCAGTCGCAAGCACCTTTCCCCCCGAATTTTATTTATTTATTTTTTGTTTTTTATTAAACTAAAAGTTCTCCCATATTTATTACTGAACCAGCCTACTAATACAGTAGCATACAAAGAGAAAAAGCATCTTCCCAGTAAAACACATCCAACTGTCCATAAAGTGGTGATGTTTTCAGCTTGATATGGGAAGATGCTCATGACCTTGACACAGCCTGAAGACGTGTGCCACCTCGCGAGAGTCCAGCAGCTCAGCCAGCCCTTCTCCAGGGTCTGATTGCCCATTCGCATCTGAATGCCCCGGGAATGGGGCGAGTCTGCTTTTCTTCCTTGGCCATGAATCACATGATCCTGAAGGTCTTGTGAGAAAACATGATGAGGAAGTAGCACACACCATGGTGACAGAAAGGGAGACTCCTTCTCCCATTTTAAATTCCTGTGGATTTAGAAACATAACCAAGTTTCCTGGAACAGTGTGAAAGATAAAGAGAGGTTGGAACACTCCAGAGTGGAAGCAGTGGGCAGAGCAAAACCTTAAAGCTTTTCTTGTGAATTTCAGAGCCTGAACTTCAAAGCGTGGGCTTTGGGTCCTTTACTTTTGCTGTGCAAAAGCTTCTTTTACTTCTTAGTAGATATTATTGTACTGACTTCTAAATACTAAAGTTTGTAAAAATGATAATTTTCTTTAATGTGAGCTAACCAACCAAGGTCATGGTACTTAAAAATAAAGGCAGCTTTAGGTTTGACTCGGGTTGAACATTATCTCACATTAATCAAATAATCATCTTGTTTTATAGTCATAATAAAGGTGGCATGATTATAATCTCATTTCAAAATAGAACATGAAAATATCCATAAATATTTACTACAAATGTAACTGCAATCACTACCATCTACATTACACACACACACACACACACACACACACACACACACAACCTCAGTTCTCAAATTTAATTAATTCCAGGAGACTGTTCAAAAAGCAATTTGTTTGAAAATTGAATTATTTTTTCCCATTAGAAATAATGTAAATTGAAATAATTTGTGGCTGACCTCCTAATGATTCCGTTTTAACTTTTCACAATTGCCTGTGATCGTTGTTTCGTGAGCACTTTCACGCCCTTGGCAACATCAGCATCTTGGTGGCCTCTTTATTTTTTAAATTGTGCTAATGGTCAGTTTCGCCATGCCGTACTCAGTACCAGATAAATGTGTGAGCTCCTCTATCAGACTTGGCAAGTATTTATTTTTTAAGCTCTATCGTTCTTACAACTTTCCTTTCACTTTGCTATCACTAACTTTCTTAGCATCCATGGTGACTTACTGTACATATTTAATAATAATAAGTAGCAACAAAAGCAAAAAAAAAACCATGAAAATATTCATAGCACATTTTCCTAAGATGTTAACAATTCTGCGTTTAGCAGTAAACTGACTCATACCCACACATTCTCTCCTTTGTCACCTGAGAGACTCGTGACTGATCATACAGGTGTCAGCATGAAAAGGTCAGGTTGAGCCCTGGCCAGTTTGGCTCAGCGGTTAGAGCGTCGGCCTGCGGTCCGGAGAGACCCGGGTTCGGTTCCCGCTAAGGGCACGTATTTCGGTTGCAGTTTGTCCCCGGCCCTGGTTGGTCGTGCGGGTGGCAGCCACTCGATGTGTTCCTTCACGTCGATGTTTCTCTCTCTCTCTCCCTTCCTCTCTCTCCCTCCCACTCTATCTGTACAAAAAATGGAAAAATATCCTCGGGTGAGGATTTAAAAAAAAAAGAAAAGGTCAGGTTGAGAACCAAAGTTTTGTTCAACAACTGAGACATTTTTTTCCATGAACAACTTGGGTCAAGAGCCCAATTGTTTGAGATGAGAGATGTTTAAAAACAGGTTTGACTGTAATGTCATGTAGTTTGAAGCATGTATTAGTCTGATGTGTCTGTTGTGTGGAGTGTGTTAGGGGAAACAGCTTTCCTGACGTTTGCATTGATCCACATCAAAGTAAAGAACTTTGGAGAACATTCAGTGCCTCGATTTTAGTCTAGGAAGTCCTAATTGTCCGTCTACCATCAGACTTTCCCAGTAACAAAATGGTAACTGAGTGATTGCCACAGATAATCCCAGTGATTCTTCCCTGTATTTGAGAGGGAAGGAATAGCAAAAATGACTGAACTTTTTTTCCTTCCTATTTCCTGCCTAATATTTGGGGGAGGGAGATAACTAACACATAACATTATATTAATTTTAGGTGCAAAACATATGATTTGATATGTATATATTTTGTGAAATGATCGGAGTAAGTCCAGTTAACATCCATCACTAACATAGTTACAAAAAAATTTTTAAAGATTTTCTTGTGAATGAAAACTTTTAAGATCTACTCTCCTAGTAAAAAAATGTTCAGGAGACAGTCTTTGTGGCTATGAGTGAAACGTTGTAAGTTGGGCCTTTATTTCTAGTTTCATGGTGTTTTGAGCCTTTTGCCCTCTAAAATGTCTATAATATTTTGTCATAAAAACTCTTACTAATAATGCTATAAATTTATTAGGAACTGGTATTTTGTTTTATTAAATCACTATTCTTTTTTGTGTTTATCATTCATACAAAACACAGGCTACGGGGAACAATGAAGTAAAGCATTTTTATTAATAGCAACAGGGATTTTTAAAAAATTGAGCTTTGATTTTAGAAAATATGTTAGAGGATAAGGTATAACACTATATTTAATTTTATTTGCCTTACCTGGTTATGGTTCTGTGTTTGGATAATGTAACTTATATTGTTTCAATGTGTTATTTTATAAATTATGCAATAAATTATAAATTTTACTTTCCCTAGGTTTAGAGACCTTTAGCCAATTAATTTACCAAGATGCTTATGGGGCTGTAAGTATGATTATCATATTTTACCAACATTTTTGGAGACATATTACAAGAAAAATGTAAACTCTTTAGCTATTTATTTTTTCTTGAAGGTTTTTTCTCCTCAAATATTTATCTTAGCTGGTAAATGTAATTTTCACTTTTTTTTTGTTCTAAATTAATCTTTCTTATTCAATATTAGCATAGATAGATGTAGTCTTATTTGAGCTAAAGTCAGGAGAAACTTCTAAAAATAAATAAAAAATTATTTTGTCTTATAGTTCACCATGAATGAATCCACCATTACTGATTCTCCAAGGTTTCCTCATAGAGGAATTTTAATTGATACAGCCAGACACTATCTGCCAGTTAAGAGTATTCTTAAAACTCTGGTAGGTAATTATTTTATTTTAATCCATTGTATATTCTGAAGCTGTGTCCTTTATGTTGTTTACTTGTGCTATTATACAGGTTGGAATGGGGGATTCATTTGTCATATACTAAGTATAAGCACTGAGCTTTCTTCCCTCTCCCTCGTGAAGTGGGTTTCCTCAGCTGAGAAGTAGAGACTCCCCTAGGGAATCACCCTCTTGTTTTCATGGGGCAGGGGAGAAGAAGGGGACTCAACATGAGCAGGATTAAGAGAAAGATAGTTTTAATACTGCCCGTTGGCCCTCTTTGTATACTCCCATTTGTTAAATCATGGGTCTAGACTTTTGGTTAGGATTATGTGGTCACTGTACCTCTAGTTGGTGTCCTTTAATTCTGTGACCTCCACTTTCTTCACAGGGGCATAGAAAGTCCGGGAGCTGCTTTATTCCTAGGGAAATATTCCAAAGGAATATGGGATCTCGGGCGGCAAGAGCTGGGTGCCAGGCTGACAATAACTGTTTTCTCCTGTGGACTTTTTATCGGTTCACCCCCATCATCACTGCCAATTTGTAGCAGTAGGAGCTTTACCTCCCATGTCTTTCTGCACCTTTATTTGATCATTTACAAACACATGTTATTAAAATTTTATTTTTAGTCCAGCAGGTGTGGCTCAGTGGATGAGGATCAACCCATGCACCAAGAGGTCGCCAGTTCAATTCCCGGTCAGGGCACATGCCCAGATTGTGGGCCCAATTCCCAGTGGGGGGCGTGCAGAAGGCAGCCAATCAGTGTTCTCTCTCATCGATGTTTCTCTCTCTCCCTCTCCCTCTAAAATCTATAAAGAAAAACAATTTTTAAAAATTATTTTTACATTACATTAATACTGACTTTTTTCCATCCAAAAGATATTCTATTTTATGAAATAGAAAAAATGTTCAGTGTAAAAACTTCACTCAATATAGATATAAATAGCCCTGGCCAGTTTGGCTCAGCCATTAGAGTGTCGGCCCGCGGGCCATAGAGTCCTGGGTTCAGTTCCCACTTAGTTGCAGTTTGTCCCTGGCCCCAGTTGGGGCAGTGCGGTGGCAACCAGTCGATGTGTGTCTCTCACATTGATGTTTCTCTCTCTTCTTCACTCTCTTCTTCCCGCTCTATCTGAAGATAAATGCAAAAATGTCCTCAGGTGAGGATAAAAAAATATATAAATAGATAGATATGTATATATAGATATATATAGACATTAATAGAATAGGTAATGATCTCATAATTTACCAAAGATCAACATAAGTTCTATGTCTCATTTATCTCATTTTAGAATTAAATAAATATACTAACAAATAATGTGAATTAAAAAAAAAAACTTTAATGGAATTATACTTAGCTACCTTTAAAATAGGCTGTCATGGACATCTTTCTGTGAAAAAATATGTAAGGCCTACATCTTTTTAAACAATTGAATTTTTCATTTTATATCCTGTGATATGTATTTAACCAGTCTCCTGCTGATGGACATCTAGGTTAATTCTTTATCACAAGTAGCACTTCAGAGTAAGCATTCTTATATTTGCACACTTGTCAGGATCATGTACTGAGGGTAAATTCTTAGACGTGAATCTCTAGGCTTAAAGATTGTATGCATTTTATTTTTTGGTACAAATTGTCAGACTACCTTCTAGAGAGGACATACCATTTATGCTTGGCCAGCAGTGGGGCATACCTTTGCCATATTCTTTGCTAATCTGGTGATAAAGTATATCTCCTTTTATTAATTTGCACTTCTCTGATTTTTAGAATATAAGCCTCTTTTACTTATTAGCTATTTGTATTTTTTTGCATTGTAAACTGCAAGTTTATTTTCAACATCCATTTTGTCGTCTACAATATTAATTCCTTGTTGATTTAAGAGCTCTGTAATGTTCTGTTTATAGATGTGTCAGTGATACTTTTATATTTGCTTATATATTGTAAAGTTTTTTTAAATTTATTTTTAAAACTATGTTTATAGTGTAGTGTCTTTTGCCTATAGAAGTTTTAATTTTTTATGAAGTCTTATCTTTCATTCTTATCCTTTATTGTTTTTTACCTTAGGAGCTAAGCAACAAAACAAGGGTATAAATATAAAACCTCTAAAAATTTCTTTTAATATTATATTTTTCTTATTAAATTCTTGATTCTGTTAGAATTTAGTGTATTATAGGTGATTATTTTCATTTTATTTTTTCCCAATGGTTAGCCTGTAGTTCCAACATCATTTTGAGCAATCTTACCCAGACAACTTAAAATAATAATTTATCATATTTGCCTTATCTTTCTCTCTATTTAAACATATTTTTCTTAAACCATATGCAAGTTGCACATAAGATGCTCCAGTACCCCTTAATATTTTTGTTTGGATATCCTAAAAAATAGCACTTATCCGAATAACTACACTGCAACCATCATAAATCAGGAAATGGTCATTGTACTACCATCTAACCCACAGACCGCTTCACACTCCATCAGTTGTTCCGGTAATGTCCTCTATAGGGCCATAGGTTCAGCGTCCAGTGCAGGATCAGGTGTTGCACTTATCTGTCATGCCTCTTTAGCCACCTTGAATTTGGAACCATTTATCTTTCCGAGTCTTTCCAGACTGACATTTTTGAAGTGTACAGGCCAATTACTCTGTAGAATATATGTCAGCTTGTCTGTTTTCCACATGATTAGATTCAGGCTGTGCATTTTTAGCAACAGTAAGGTAGAAGTGATACTCTTCTTCTCCATGCATGTCAGGGGACACAGTGCCTTTTTTTTTAAACATTTTTTTTTTCTTTATTGATTTTAGAGAGGGTGAGGGAGAGAGAAACGTTGATGAGAGAGAACATCGATTGGCCGCCTCCTGCATGCTCCCCACTGGGAATCAGACCCACAACCTGGGCATGTGCCCTGACAGGGAATCAAACTGGCGACCTCTTGGTACATGGGTCATCGCTCAACCACTGAGCCACACTGGCTGGGCAACAATGTCTTATTTATTCCATTACTGGTAATATTAACTCTTACAGCTTGACTAAGGTGTCATCTGCCAGGTTTCTCCAGGTAAAGTTTAACTAAAACGTATTTTATACTTATTAGTAAGTAATTATCTTGGGACAGTATTTTGAGAGTACATAAAATTCCTGTTCTTCATCCAGCTAGATTACCAACTAGTTTTTGCATCAGGATGATTTTTGCCTAAATCAGTTGTTACTAACTTGGCTCCCAGGAGGTGATTTTCTAAATTCCATCATTCTTTCTGTGTTTATTAGTTGATACGGCCTTTTACTGCAAGGTAGAGTTTCTCTTTAAGTATTCATTTTTTATCAGTTTGTACTCAGGGATTATTGTGTTCTGAGGGGACCATAATCTGTTACTATCCCTATTTAATAGTCAAATTGTCTCACTTCTGGCCGGCAGGAGTCCACGTCTCCTGTCTTTGCGCCATTTCTTACATGTTAGCACATGCTGCTCCAGGCTCGCCTTTTCTCTTTCCCAGTCCTAGAATCAGACTTTCTCCTACAAACACTTAGTGAATGATATGTTGAAACTAAAACCTGGGCGGTAGGTGTACTCATTGCTTCCAGGCCCTCAGCAGACAGAGCTATAAAATGTATGTCTGTGTGTATATTTATGTACATTTATGTGAACACATACATACATCTTTACTTATTTCTGTATCTATCTATATCAGAGGTTGACAAACTACAGTCCAAGGACCAAGTCCAGCTAGTCACCTATTTTTACAAATGAAGTTTTACTGGGATGCAGCCATGTCCATTTGTTTACGTTGCCTTGCCTTACAACTGCAATTGTAACAGAAAACATATGGCTCCAAAATAAAAATATTTACTATCTGTCCCTTTATGTATAAAGTTTGGCATCTCCTGGTCTTTATTAAAAACCATGAGGGCCCTGGCTGGTTTGGCTCAGCAATTAGAGTGTCGGCCCGTGGACCAGAGTCTTGAGATTGATTCCAGTCAAGGGCATGTATCTTGGTTGTGGTTCTGTCCTGGCCCTGGTCAGGGTCGTGCGAGAGACAACCAATCAATGTACTCCACTCCCCCCTCACCCCCCCCCCCCCGCAACCCCTTATCTGAAAATCAATGGAAAAATACCCTTGGGTAAGGATTTAAAAAAAAAAAAACCCACAAGGACACCCCTTCTCTGACAATGCAACTCTTGCCATTATCCTCAATATATAAATATTCCTTTGCACAATTCCCTTGTATGTAAGCTGTTTCCCAAATGTATCAACAAATCCCTTCAGCCCTGATGAAGAAGGGAGACTTTAAATTTTGAATGTCTGGTAGGGCAAATATCCCCCCTTATTATTTTAAATCTTTTTTGAATAACCTTATATTTTATATGAACATTTTATTGTTAATTCCTCCAGAGTAAACATGACAGTTTCCCCCAAGCTTTTGAGAATTCTGATTGCAATTGTATTGCATTTGTACCATATATTTCTTAGGAAGGGCTGGCACTCAAATCTCAGAATTGTGGGAATTATAGGCGCTGGTACTTAAATGAATGCCTCATTTTTCCTATGTTCCATTCCCAAATATAGCAGTAGTAGCAGCCAAGAACTACTTTCTACTCTTGGCTGACCCCTAAATACTTAGTGGGAATTTATAAGCTTGCTCCCTTCCCATAGGGCAAAGTTACAACTCACTGTTTAGAATGAATACAAATTCCATATAGGCTTTTTGTTTTTAAAAATATGTTTTTATTGATTTTAGAGAGAGGAAGGGAGAGGGAGAGGGAGAACCATCTATGTGAGAGAGACACATCGATCAACCTGCTCCTGCATGCCCCCTACTGGGGATCGAGCCCACAACCTGGGCATGTGCCCTGATGGGGAATAGAACCTGCTAACTCCTGGTGCGTGGGATGGATTCCCTGTCAGGGCACATGGCTAGGCTGTGGGTTCGATCCCCAGTAGGGGGCATGCAGGAGAAGGTTGATCGATGTGTCTCTCTCACATAGATGGTTCTCTCTCCTCCTCTCCCTTCCTCTCTCTAAAATAAAAAATAAAAATAAAAAAGTCTAGATACTAAAACAATACCCAACTATAAGCTATTTACAAGATAGACTTTGAGACATGTAAAATAAAATAAATGATAAAAATGATGTACCAAGAAATGTAATCCTATTTATAAAACAAACAAAAATCTAAGCCACACCGGCCAACCTGTACAGGCATTTTGAAATGTGATATGCCATGTATAGGATTTATACTTCTTTCACATTGTTTCTTTGCTGAAAATTTTGAAAGGAAACAGACCCATGAGAAGCGATCCTGAGTGGGGATATGTAAATTGGATTGTGTGTTGTATCTGTGGTATATAATTTTTCAACGTGTTTTTTGCAGGACGCCATGGCTTTTAATAAGTTCAATGTACTCCACTGGCACATAGTTGATGACCAGTCTTTCCCCTATCAGAGCATCACTTTTCCAGAGTTAAGCAATAAAGTGAGTAATTCATGTTTGTAATCTGTCTACAGAAAGTTTAGTAGTTTCAGAAGTTTGTAGCTTTAATATTTCTTCTTATGGATAGAATTAAAATGTAAAAGTTAGATATTCATGGTTTTAAATGTTTTTTAATAGGCTGTGGCTTAGCATTTTAGATCTATAAAGCTATCCTGTTTTTATATTTGTTATTATAAAGGTAAACAATCTCTAGGGGCTATATAAATAAAATTTTAAAACCTTAGTGAATGTAGACCTGACTCATTCATGATTCAAATAAGGTTAAGTAATTATATTTATCTAGTAGCCCAACTGTATATGTTTTAAATAATTATTTTGAATTCGGTAAATGACTGTTCTTTTTCTCTGTGAAAAACTACATGAAGTAAGGAATTTTAGAAATGAGAGCTCCTTAGAAACTAATGGTAGTCTCAGAATTGTTCGGATTGACTGTACTGACAGACCAGTGGAGCCGGCTGTGAGCCTCAGTGTCATTTACTTGAATCCGTATAATACAAAGACAGAAACTGAGAAGCTGTATGCCTTGTCCAGAGTTGCAGTTAGGAAGTGGGCAGAGCCAGGACTCAAAATTTCATGCTCTGGCCCTAACTCCAAAGTTTTCTCCATTGTTATATGCTGAAATGCTAGTAGCAACTCGTGTTTCTGTTTGCTTTTGTTTTACTTTTTATAATGAAAAATTTTAAAGATATACAGAAGTAGAATAATTTAATGAATTTCCGTGTCCTCATCACCCAGCTTCAGTAGTCAGTACATGGCCAATCTTGTATCACCTTTACTCCCCACCATTATTCTGAAGCAAATCCAGGACATCATAACTCATTTGTGAAAAGGACTGTTTAAAAAACAAAAACAAAAAACCCAAAATATTATTGCAGCTAAAAAAAAAAAATTAACAAAAGTCCAGATAACCAATTGTTATTTACACTTCCCCAGGGCCTTTTTCTTTTTTAAATTGCACTGGGGTACGAGCTCCATGCACTGTGGTCATTTTATATGTCTACTAATTCTCTTTTGATCTATAGGTGCCCACCTCTGCCCATCTCGTTTTTTCCTTAGAATTTATTTTTTTGATGAAAAAATTAAGTCATTTGTCTAATAGTTTCCCACAATCTGGGTTTTGCTAATTGCATTCATGTAATGTCAACATATCTTTCTGTACTATAAACTGGTAGAATTACTATTAGATCTAATCTTGATTAGATATAAATTTGATTTGGTGGATGGGGCAAGGCTACTTTTAGAAGTTGAGCATTTATATTTTTATATATATTTATACCTTAAGAAATGTGCTACAGTAATACCTTTAATGGACCTTATCTTTGGTTATAACCAATATTGGGTTCTGATTTTTCAAGTGACCTATAAAGGGACTGAAGGTAGCCTTAAAAAAACATCTGGTCACTTATGAGAGTGTTGGGGGTGGGGTGGGATTTGAAAGCTGCTAGTAATTAAAGTGATGTTGAAAGACAATAGCTATGCTCTGTAGTAACCTTTGAATTTTGATTCTAAATTGACACGGGCAATGTATACTGTTTTCAGAGATTTCACTTTGGAGTCAAACATTTTATTTCTGTTTTGTTGTATGATTACATGAGGTTGAAAGAGCATAATGGAAGATATTCTTGAAACAAGAGGGGTTGGTTTAGATAGTGTTATCAGTAAATGTAGAATTAATCTAAAGTGTGCTGAGAGCTTATGGATAAGGCATGGTTTAAATAATATAAATAAGTAATCCAACATCACATAGAACTATTTTTTTTAATATTTTTTATTTATTGATTTTAGAGGAAGGGAGAGGGCGAGAGAGAAAAATCGATGAGAGAGAACATCGACTGGCCGCCTCCTGCATGCCCCCCACTGGGGATCAGGCCCACAACCTGGGCATGTGTCCTGACCGGAATCGAACCGGCGACTTCTTGGTGCCTGGGTTGACACTCAAACACTGAGCCATACCAGCTGGACACAGAACTATTTTAATACATTATGATACTAGAAAAATCTGCTATGATATATCAGACTGCAAACAGATCTCTTAACAATTTTCAGGACCAAATCCATTTGGTACATTTAAATTTTTATCAATATGGCTCTTACAGGGAAGCTATTCTTTGTCTCATGTTTATACACCAAATGAAGTCCGTACGGTGATTGAATATGCCCGATTATGGGGCATTCGTGTCATACCAGAATTTGATACTCCCGGACATACACAGTCTTGGGGAAAAGGTAAGTGTTTTATAAGTTGCAAAAAGTGAACATTTGAGGTCCTGCATCTCTTATTTTATGACTTTGGTGTTTGCTCACTTTGTTTTTTGTTGTGATTTATACAAAAGGTAGCATTATTAACAGATATAATTCAGTAACTATCACGTGTCTTATAAAAATGACTACGAAGTAGAACATAAGTGAATTCAAGAGGTTTTATGGATGAGGTAACACTTGAAATGCTTTTGAGAGATCCAAGAAGAGGTTCACGGTTCTGGAGGGACTCTCTGGAGGGCAGTGCAGCGGAACAGGAGGGCCTGTACTACAGGCGGTTAGAGCTGGCTCTGGGGTCAGACTGCCTGGGCTTGAATCCTCTTCTGCTGCTTATAAACAGTGACCTCAGGCAAGTTATCGAACATCTCATCCTCAGTTTCCCCATCTGTAGAACAGGTATGTTAGAAGTAGCTCTCAAATAAATTTTTTGAGGATTAAAGAATGAATAAAAGCACACAGCACAGCACCTAACACTTATAATTCTTCAATAAACGGCCCTGGCTGGTTTGGCTCAGCAGTTGGAACGTTGGCCTGCGATCCAGAGAGACCCGGGTTCGGTTCCCCCTAGGAGTGCGTACCTCGGTTGCAGTTTGCCCCCGACCCTGGTTGGGTCGTGCGGGTGGCAACCACTTGATGTGTCCCTTTCACATCGATGTTTCTCTCTCTCTCTCTCTCTCCCTCCCACTCTAGCTGAACAAAAAATGGAAAAATGTCCTCCAGTGAGGATGAAAAAAAAATTATATAAAAAAAATAATTCTTCAATAAACATTATGAGGGTAGACATGGAGAATAGTGGGAAGTAAGTCTGGAAAAGTACAGTGTAGAGGCCTTGAGTGAGGAATGCAGGCTTCATCAGGACACACAGAAACCAGCGACAGCTATGACGCAGAGGAGCGACACCAGGGAGCTACGCTTCGGGAAAACCTATGTGAAAGAGACAGCCCAGAAGAGGAAAGAGACTGAGGTGCTAATCAGAATGCTGATGAAATGGAAAATTATGTACAGAACAGAGAGACATTTTGGAAATATAGTCCATAGAACTTGGCACCCGATTGACTCCAGAAGGACAGGGAAGAGTTATAGACTAATGGTGCTCTTACCAGAATACAGAAATCAGGAGAAGCTGCAGAAGGAGCTTAAGGAACAGAATCTTTGTTTTTTGTTGGATTGTATTTGAAATGCAGATAGGATATCTAATTGTGTTGAGCAGGGAATCTGAAATCGGATTAAAGTTCAAGAAAAAAGGGTTGGGGCAAGCTGAAGATTTGGGAATCATTAATATTCAAGATAATCAAAGCAGATAAAATCTCAGAGAGGCGCCCTGGCTAGTTTGGCTCAGCGGTTAGAGCATTGGCCCAAGGACCAAAGAGTCGCAGGTTCAATTCCAGTCATGGGCAGGTATGTCAGTTGCAGTTCAGCCCGGCCCTAGTCAGGGACCTGCGGGAGGCAACCAATCGATATGTCTCTGTGTGTCTGCCTCTCTTTCTCTCTCTCCCCCTCTACCTACGTCCCACTTTCTAAAGTAAAACAACAACAACAACAAACCTCAAGATAGAGGCTTATAGAAAGGGGAACAGAGGTATAGGGACAGGATTCAGGAAACAATTCTCCCTCATCTTATTTGGAATTACTCACCATAGTAACTCTTAGTAAGGATGCTTCTCTCTGTATACAATCTTATAACTTCAACAAAATAAAGTAGTATTATCATATGCTATGCTATGTCTTTGTGATTAAGACACTTTTTAAGAACAGAATCTTCATATTTTCCTCCAGGTCAGAAAAATCTCCTGACTCCATGTTACAATCTACATGAACCTGGGGCTTTTGGACCTATAAACCCGTCTTTGAATACAACTTACAGCTTCCTATCTACATTTTTCAAAGAAATTAGTTCGGTATTTCCAGATCTGTTCATTCATTTGGGAGGAGATGAAGTGGAATTCAAATGTTGGTATGACAATTCTTTAAAACCCTGATTTTCTTTCTCTTTTTTGGGTACGTGCCCTTAGCGGGAACCGAACCCAGGACACTCTGGTCCACAGGCCGACGCTCCAACCGCTAAACCAAACCAGCCAGGGCTGAATCCCTGATTTTAACCATTGCATTTGAAGTAGGTTTAGAGGTCTCCCCATGAAAAGGGAAGATTTGGGGTAATACCTCTGCTTGCACGGTTTTAATTTGGCAACACAACTCCTGAGATGGTGGATTTGGGGTGGTATGAGAAAGTAAAAGCTTCTAGGAAAGAGAATCAAAATGCAGAAGAAAATTGATAATTTAAAAAAAGAGACTCCAGTGAATGAGAATAACTTTAGTGAAAGAGGGCAATGAGTAATTGAGGGAGATTTTTCCAATTAAAAAAATCCTCTTTGCAAGTAGCCTTAGATGGAGGAGAGAGGCAGGAGGGAGGGAAAGCCATTTTACAAGAAGTCAGCTTCTGGGAAAAATTATCTGCAGTGGAAAACAAAAATAACTAATAACTAAGTTCCTAAGGCTTATTTTACTCTCTACAACTTAAACAGTTTTAAATTGGCATAAATGATGGTAAGGATGTACACTACTTTAAATAGATTGGACATATCAAACTTTTAATGAAATTTTAATCATTGTTCTATTTTTTTTAAGGGAGTCCAATGCAGAAATCCTGAATTTCATGAAGCAGAAAGGCTTCGGCAAAAATTTCAGAGAACTAGAATCTTTTTATATGCAGAAGTAAGTTACTTGAGCCTACTTGTGTTTATGTTTTAAAAAATTTTTCTTTATTGTTTAGAGAGAGGAAGGGAGAGGGAGAGAGAGATGGAAACATCGATGAGAGAGAACATCGACTGGCTGCCTCCTGCATACCCCCCACTGGGGACCCGGCCCACAACCTGGGCATGTGCCCTGACTGAGAATTGAACTGGTGACCTCTTGGTCCATGAGTTGATGCTCAACCACTGAGCCACACCAGCTGGGCGAGCCTACTTGTGTTTTTATTTCATCAATACCTTTAGTAAAAGTTTTAGCTCTTATTAGTTTTGTTTTATTTCTTCATTTTCTCTCTACCTCTTGCTAAAGTATAGGTGTTGTATACTTTGTATGAAAAATCATAAAGAAGAAAGCATTATCCATCGCTTTCTTCAAATCAGTAATGTGGTATCCAAGCCTTTTGCAGTAACTGTTGAGAGATAGGCAGCAGTCATATATTCCACGAACTCAGCAGAAAGCGCTGGCTACCCTACGAAGTCTTCATCACTATCCAGTCCCTATGATCCGTTCCCTTGTGTCAACTCCAGGAGTAGTTTTTAACTTTATACCTGTGCTGTCCAGTACGGTAGCCATAGCCACATGTGGCTGTTAGCATGTAAATGAAAGAAAATTAAAAATTTAGTTCCTTAGTCACATTAGCCACATTTCAAGTGTTCAATAGCTGGATGAGGTTACTCAGTGGCTCCCATACTGGAAAGTACATATATTAGCACATTACCATCACTGCAGGAAGTTCTACTGGACAGTGTTGCTCTATACTAGCGATCAGTAAACTTCTTTCTGTAAAGGCCAGATAGTAAATATTTTAGGCTTTGTAGGCCCCATCTGGTTGCATATTTTTATGTAAAACATACTTTACAAATGTAAAGACCACTCTCGGCTCATGAGCTGTGCTATATTGAAAGGTACCTCTCAACGTTGCAGTCCTTGGTAGAGAATATGCATGCTTTAAACATATTGTTAAGCTTGTGATCTGAATTAACTTTTACTTTTATTTTTCATTGGTAGGCTTTTGGATATTATTTCAGCTGTAAAGAAACGACCCATAGTCTGGCAAGAGGTTTTTGATAATGATGTGAAGGTGAGAAGTATGAAGACTACATTTGATTCTGATAATATGAGAGCTTAATATTCTAACATCGTGGATGGAAGGAATCTAAAGAAGCATCCCCCTGGGGAAATTAGCTTCCTTTTCCACTTGAACTGTATTAGGCAATAATTGTAGACTTACATCAGTGTTAGTGGTATTTGTTTCTTTTCTTCCATTTACTTCACTCTTTAGTGCCTCCTCTTCTTCTCTCCCCTGACTCCCTGCGGTCGCATTAATCACAAATTGAAGTAAGTTCCCTTTTCCAGGAAAGGGCAGAACAAAGAGATAAGAACAAATGAGTCTGTTGCTATCGAGGTATTTTTAAGTAAAATTGTCAGTGTACACTTTTTACTTTAAATGGCATCTCTCTAACATAATGAGAATTCTTTATTTTCCTTTCTGGCAACTGAGAATTTGCAAGTCGAGCTATTAGTATTAGCTTTCCAGAAGGGTTGGTGACATCCTCCCAGTTTCAAAGTAAGTAAAACAGTAGTGTGGTAGAATGGGACTAAAGCCTTGGTTCATTACATCTACATGTTGTCAAACAGGCAGAAGTTAAATATCCACCCTGAAGGTTAAAGTAACTTCTAATTTTAAGTCTCTGTAAGAAATAGCATTTGGCACTAACTTGGAGGGAGAAGGGGAAAGAAGACCATGTAAATGTTTTCTCAAGGATTTAAAGTTATTTTTCTTGTTATAAGTCTAGGACTTTAAATTTCCTCTACTGTATTTGCTACACCTAATAATATCGCAATGTTTAACTTTAATAGCCTCAGCAAGGTTTTGTAGTTCAAGTATGGAAAGCGGAAAATTATCGTCAAGAAGTCAGTAGAGTCACAGCAGCTGGCTTCCCTGTGATCATTTCTGCTCCGTGGTACTTAGATTATATCAGTTATGGACAAGACTGGATGAAATATTATGAAGAGGAACCTCTTGATTTTCGTGGTAAGTGAATTTCCCTGATTTAAGTAAAATCATTACCCTGAATTTCTTCCCTACCCTCCCACCAGGAAATTCTTACCTATATATTACCTACTAACTCTCCTTCCTTTTATGTTTGATCCTTGATTTTGTGTTTATTTAAAAAGAAAGGCCTCCGTATCGTTAGAAATGTTGTGAAAGAAACAAAATCCTTACCTAAATAAAAGAACTTCAAAAGTAGATTCCTTAGATTTTATCTCCATTTTCACGGATGTCTTGTTACCTTCTATCTACATTTTTTAAATCCTCAACTGAGGATATGTTTATAATTATTGATTTTAAAGAGAGGAAAGGAGAGAGAGAAACATCGATCGTTGCCTCCCGTACATGCCCCGACGGGATTGAACCCATAGCCTTTTGGTGTACGGGACGGCGCTCTAACCTACTGAACCAGCTGGCCAGGGCTTGCTCACTCTCTATGTTTTAAAGGTGTTTGACTGCATTAACCTTGCATCTCTCTTCTGAACAGCCTCTCCAATGTAAGACCTACACAAGGCTCTAATCTAGTTCAATGGATTTCAGGCTGTGTAGTCTCAGGGTTCTGAGGAGTGGGCACGGAGCTTCAGGCTCTCAGACCACCTTTGTTGAGAACAATTCTACTCTGCCCAGTTTTGTACACCAGACTAATATAAAATTTCTTTTGAGAAAATAGATTTTGCTCTTTTAAAACATTTCCAAATTGTAGGTCTATTAGGAATTCACATAACTTTCTCTGGAAAATTTTCTGAAAATCAATATAGTAATCATAATTACTATAAAACAGAGTATTAGGTACTTGGTCTCTTTTTTACTACCAAGAGATAGATATTAAAGGCAGGAGAGGTGGTTACGGTATTCCAACTTGTATTGCCTGGCACACTATTCACAGGCAACCAGGGGGGGAAATGTTTCTGGTGACCAAATTACTTTGCAGAAAACCAGTATAAAATGGTATCTTTAATACTGGCCCACCACATTAGTTGACACATGCTAAAAAGTAGTATGTGAACCACAGGGTCGGGGTGGGAATCAAGTTTGCCATCTTTTCTTACGCCACTACCATAACTATCTCCAAGGTCCTGCTGACTACAGGAGAAAAGTGTTGCCCTGAGATAAGGGTGGGAGAAATCAGGATTGCCTCTGTATATAAGCCTTCAGCCACAACTACTTAACTTACATCAATCCAATGATTTTAATGTAGGTTCTCAGGAACAGAAACAACTTGTCATTGGTGGAGAAGCTTGTCTCTGGGGAGAATATGTGGATGCAACTAACCTCACTCCAAGACTATGGTATGGAATTTCAGTGATAACATTTGAATTAATAAGGTACCTTAGATTTCCTTTTCCATCCAGGTTGGAAAGCATAAGGAATTTCCCCAAGCATATGATTTAGATACTTACTTCTTTAAGAAAACACGAATTTAAACTGATTTGGAAAACATGATGTGGTTTAAATTTTAGGCCTCGGGCCAGCGCCATTGGTGAAAGACTCTGGAGTCGGAAAGATATCAAAAATGTAGATGATGCCTACAGAAGACTAGCAGCTCACCGCTGCAGAATGGTTGGGTAAGACTCTTATTTTTCAAGATAGGATACTGTTAAGTCCAGGGTAATTTTTAACCTTACTTTATTTATGGTTAGTCACCTTGGTATTTTTTTCTATAAACAGAAATGTATACCACCTAAGAAGTAGTGATTTAATTAGGAAAAATTGGGAATACCTGTAAGGAAAAGATATATTCGGACATACAACTGTTTTTATAGCCATATCGAATTTGGGTATAAGTTGAACCCATCTTGAATCACTTCAAAATCCTGTTAAAATAATTAATACTATGGTTGGTGACTCTGATTTAAGCTACTAAGTTCTTTAAGATGGAGATGAGTTATGTCAATCTAAAACATCTTTTACTTATACTTTACTGTTGTATAGACGCGGAATAGCTGCAGAACCTCTTTTTACTGGATATTGTAACTATGGGTTGAGCTGAGCTGAAACTAGGAGCGGGAAGAGCCCAGAGAAATCTACTACAATCAACTTGATTCTGAAATCATGTAAATTAAGATTTGGTGTGTTATTTTTTAATAAAATGTCTGTGTCTTGATTGAACTTCTATCTTAGACCTTACAAATATAGAAGACTGGCATCTTTCTGTGAGAGAAGCTTAAAAGAAAAAAAAAACTTGGTGACGTCACTCAGTATATATTCCAAAGGGCTGCGTCTTTACTGACAGCAGTAACCTCGTGCACAACATACAGTTCAGGTACATTGACTTGCAGCATCCGAGCACATTTCCACGACAGGATGGGCATGCAGTGCCATGGTCAGTTTCAGCTTACGTTTTTCAGGTCTTTGAATGTACTGAATGTAATTTATTTGCCTAATAAATAAAGCAATAAAAATTGTTCTTACTGAAAACAAATAGGTAGGTGCTCCTGGATTTCTCTCAAGGTCCTCAGAGCACTTAGGTTGAGCCGCTTCTCCGGCTGAGCAGCATACTTTGGTCTTGAGGATTCATGGCTTGATAATTAGATAGTTCTAAGGCAAACGTAGCTGAGCCTGATGTGAGTGTTCGAAGCACAGTTGAATAACCCTAATCAAAATAATTTAAATCAGTTATGTCATCTAATTTAAGCCTCCAGCTTCTCTTCCTGCTGCTTATCTTTTGACCATTACCAGGAAAGGTGATTATGTAATTTAACCATATCACTTCTTCAAATGGATCATTGAATCATTTTTCTCAGGAAAAATCTGACATAGAAACATTGTGGAGGACAGAAACCAGTAGTGAGTGTGCGCTCCAGATGTATCCCTTGGTCACAGCATCTGGTGAGATGCCTCTGCAGCACTCGGGTGCTTGCTCTGGAGCGCGAGCGGTGTGTGTGTGTGTGTGGGGGGGGATCACAAGCCTGAAAACTGACAATTGTAGAAATAGGATTAAGAGCTCAGAAGGGGAAAAAATGGTAGGCTGGTGCCACATTTAGGTACACCTCTACCTTTGTGGAAGACTGGAAAGGATCCCCACGCTGCTGCACCCCCTGGATTTCCCTTACAATTTAAACCCACTGTGCTGTCAGTTCCCGATGGCTGAAATTGAACATGAGTCCTTCACATCACAGTCCTGATGATTCTTTCAGGTGTTACTGGTTGTCTGTTTTCACTTGGCCTGTCTAGCCCCATATTAAAAGAAGAACATCTACTTTTCAGTCACAAGGCACCTACCATGATCTCTGCTAAGGGAACAAAGCCAACAACTACTCTGTTGTCCTGCCGAGTCTGGATCTCCTGAACGCTCCCTCTTCTCTGTGCCAGATCTGCCAGGACAGCGCTGAGGTGATCTCTAGTCACTGTGACCTCCAGATGCATCAGGGGCTCCAAAACTTGCTTATCAGCTTTCTTTAAAGCCTAAAATAAATTAAAGAATGTGAATCCCTCTTCCCTAAATTGGAAATCAAATTTCTGTTAAAAAAAAATGAATATTGTGCCCTGGCCAGTTTGGCTCTGTGGTTAGAGCATCGGCCCGTAGACCAGAGAATCCTAGGTTCAGTTCCCGCTAAGGACACGTACCTCGGTTGCAGTATGTCCCCGGCCCCGGTTGGGGTCGTGTGGGTGGCAACAAGTCGATGTGTCTCTTTCACATCAATGTTTCTCTCTCTCTCTTCCCTCCAGCTCTATCTGAAGATAAATGCAAAAAATGTCCTTGGAATACTACCCATACTCTTAAGCCTAGAGCTTTGGCAAAAAGACATATGCCTACTTTAACTCTCCATAAAGACAATACTTCATTATTATTATTTTTTAAATTTATCTTCAGATAGAGTGAGAGGGAGAGAGGGAGGAAGAGAGAGAGAGAGAAACATCTATGTGAGAGAGACACCTTGACTGGTTGCCACCTACACGACCCCAACCGGGGCTGGGAACAACTGTAACCGAGGTACGTGCCCTTAGTGGGAACCGAACCCGGGCCTCTCTGGTCTGTGGGCCAACACTCTAACTGCTGAGCCAAACCAGCCAGGGCATGACAACACTTTATAATGAAGTAAAAAACGTCAATATCTTGTACATGCATGACAATAATACATCCGAGATCTCTTGAATGGGATTGTCAGGGGGTGCTTAGCAAAGCCAGATTATATAGAGCACCTGTAAATATGTGGCCAGAGATAACAGTGAAAGAAAAGCCTTCAGTCAAAGACTTATTTCTTCACATTTAAACATCCTGTTTTGTTCCTGATGCCTATAATTACAGTCCATGCCACGTGTCAGGGCAGTCAAGGGAAAGCAAGGGGAGAGCTTAAAAAAAAGGGGCATTTAACATAATAAGGTAGTAGAAACACATCCTCTATTTAAAATAAATACAGGTTTGGCAAAAGAAGGTTTATAGTTGTAAGTACGTAAAACAGTTTATTCTTGTATTATTATATATTAATTTCCATACAAATAACTATAAACCTACTTTTGCCCATACCTGTAGATCATCTGGTTCACAATTTCCGGTTTCAAAGGTCAAGAAGAACAAGCGTATAAAGAAAACATGGAGCTGGGCCAGTGTGGCTCAGTGGATGGAGCGTCATCCCGTGGACTGAGAGGTCCCAGTTTGATTCTGGTCAGGGCACATACTTCGGTTTCTGGCTTGGTCCTCGGTGGGGGGCATGCAGGAGGCAGCCGACTGATGTTTCTCTCTCACATCGATGTTTTTATTTCTCCCTTCCTCTCTCTAAAAAATCAATAAAAACATAAAAAACAAACAAACATGGAAACTGAAAAGAGCTAAAATAGTGTAAGGCAAGTAGGAAGTACAAGAAAACTGGGAAAGTAGCAACAGTATAAAGAAACTTGCTGGGACTACCAGTCAGACTCCATCTTGAACAGTATCAGTACATCAGACAACCTGGTAAATGGGTTTGGATGGAGTCTGCAAATACTGTAAGTATTGGTGAGTTTGATTTAAAAAGCTATTCTACTGCTCCAGCCTGCCAGACTTCAAAAGTACCAAAATAACTTCCTATAAATTCCAAACCTTTGTTTGGTTATCAGGTGGGATGTAATAATCTTAGAATGAGCAACGGGAGCCAGATAAACAAGAGAGTTTGGCTGTGAATGTGCTCTGACCCTGATCTGGGTTGGCCAATCCCCTTTCTGCTCCCACCCCACCACTCCTTGTCATTATTACCAAGGCCTTCGATGGGGCACTGTCATCACCTACACTGTCAAATAATGCGTCTGGGTCTCTAATCCTTCTGTCCCTGATACCTCACTTCCTCCTCTTTTCTCCCCTCCCCGTTTACCCTCACATTCATGAAAACTGACCGGATTAGTATAAGCAAGAATATATTTTATCATAGAAGTTTTTAAAAAATGTAGCACTTATACACAGTAAAACAATCTCCGTTCTTCATAACTAAGTTTTAAAAATCATTACTAACTGAATAACAACCATAGAAAAGGTATCTAATAATCTTTGAATGAAAATGTTACTAAAAATAATTATAATCAACAACAAACAACTACGTTTATATTCTCTGTATTTTCTGCAGTTCTTACCAAGAGTTGCCCTTTAATTCCCTTCTAAATCTAAAGCTGCTAAAGATCAACAAGAACACACGCACCCTCTATGTCCATTTCAGCGCCCAGTGCACTGCAAGCACAGCACATGGCTCAGCACATACACGAAGCACCTTAACTTCGCACAAGCAGAGGGGAGGAGCTTCCCCACTAGGTAAAGCTTAACAAGGGCTGAGGACTTCCATTAGGAGTGTTTCATTTAAAGTAATGAATTAAAACTAAAGGTTAAATATAAGGCCCCATAAGTTAATTCTTGTTCTCTAGTATGATCTTAATAAAAAGGCTAATCAACCCTGAAATACAATTTTATTTTAGAAGGCATATTAGATTTTGAAGGACTGGCCAATATAGGTGCTTGGGGTTAATTTATAAACAGTATCTTTCAGGTTACCTTACTTCAATATTAAAACCAATTTCAGGAAAATCTTTAAAAATTATTGGAAAGTAAATGTTTTCAACAATTTAACCACAACTACAGGTGATATTTCTAACTATATGCCTAGGCAAACAATATCAAATAATTTTATTCTTAATAGTATAGTTTTTTTGCCCCGGCTGGTTGCTCAGTGGTTAGAGCGTCGGCCTGTGGTTCGGAGAGACCCGGGTTCGGTTTCCGCTAAGGGCACGTACCTCGGTTGCAGTTTGTCCCCGGCCTGGTTGGGTCGTGCGGGAGGCAGCCACTCGATGTGTCTCTTTCACATCGACGTTTCTCTCTTTTTGTTTTGATTTTTTTTAAAAAGACCTTTTTAAAAAAAAATTAATCCTCACCTGAGGATATTTTTCCATTTTTTTGTTCGGAGAGAGAGAGAGAGAAAGAGAGAGAAACATCGACGTGAAAGGGACACATCCAGTGGCTGCCTCCCGCACGACCCAACCAGGGCCGGGGACAAACTGCAACCGAGGTACGTGCCCTTAGCAGGAACTGAATCCGGGTCTCTCTGGACTGCAGGCCAACGCTCTAACCGCTGAGCCAAACCGGCCAGAGCTAATAAAAGACTTTTTAAGAAGTATGAATTTCAACTCCTATGATAGAGACATTAAGTTCAGCCTTCTTAAGTCAGGGGCTTAAGGTATGTAAAGTTAATTTTATAATTATGGATTCAAATAAGACTGTAGAAAATCAGGTCTCACAGTGTAAAATATTAGAAGATGATTATAAAAGCAAGTATTTTAATGCAAAATCAGTCACCAACAAGGCTAAAGCATTCCCACACTAAGAGGAATGTGGAATCAGCATACCAGGATCCTTGGGGTTAATCCAGCTCTGGGAGGCAATCACTCAAGACACTCCCAGGTAACCATTCGAAGAAAACCAGATTGCTTGATATTTTGAGAAGGGATGATGCTTACCCTGAGTCTATTATGCAGCGATTCTTGATTAAAGTAATCTTATTTGAATAAATATGAACTCCAAAATTGGAACCAATATTAGATCCTCAATGTCCTTTAGATTATAATTCATCTTGGGCCAAGCTGACCCCAGAAATGTCCTCTACTCAAACCTACCAACCTTGTTTTTAATGGCTATGTGTCTGGGAAGGGGATAGCAGAGTTACCACTTAAGGAAACTTGCCTATTTGCCAAAATCAGAGGATATTTCATAGCTAGCTATGTTAAACAGTAATTTCTTAGATCCTCTTTGCAAATAAAACCCCAGTGACTAAGAAATCAAAGATTCTCCATGGTAAGAATGCTCACTGATTACAAAGCTCAGGAAGCAAAGACAAGGCCGGCAGTACAACCATGGCTGCCTGCAGATCAGTGTACACTACTGTCAGGGGAGTCACCTTAAAGCAAAAAGGATTGGGGTAGTTACATACCTTCTGCACACATCTTGAGACACAGGCAGAAATCATAGTTGAGGAGGTACCAGGATGAAGTATCAGTGAATGTAAGGTAATTGCCACATCTTGAATTGGGGATCCAAGCAATGGTCCTAGAAAGGGTGGAAAATTTGTATTAGGACTCAATATGCAGTGAGGAGTAACTAAGAAACATAAAGAAACAGGGAGAGGACTTCTGGTTTCCAGTTTAGCACAGAAGGAGCTTAGAAGTTACCCCTCTATCCTAGCGAGTAAAAGGAAAACAGACTGACAAATCAACAACTCTTCCTGATCTTTAAGGGGAGGACAAAGGGCAAACCACTGTCCCCAAGAATGGAGAGAAGGTGACTACAGGGAGTCACAACTGCCTGGAGCAGACTCATTAGCAGGAAATGCCCCAGAAACCAGTGCTAGGGAAGGAACAACTGAACTGTAATTAATAAATTGCTGGAGACTTGGTGTGGACAATTTTGGGGGATATCTGGTCATTGGGGGGTGAAGACCTAGTCACTGAGCATGGCAGGGGACACAATTTTGTGAGATTTACCTCCAGGAGCTCAAGCAGGTTCTCAGTAAATATCACAGAAAAGTCTCCCTGCGCTTCCAGTGGGGGAAGAGGAAAAGAAAACATGCTGAAACACATCCGACCCTTGAACAACCTGGGGAACTTAGGGGAACTCACCCCTAGCAGACAAAAGTCTGCACGTAACTTGACTCCCCTAAAACTTAGTCGGCCCTTCCTCTTTGCATCCATTGGTTTTGCATCTGCAGAGTCAACCAACTTCAAATTAAAAACAGTACTTCAGGCCCTGGCCGGGTGGCTCAGTTGACTGGAGTGTTGTCTCATACACCAAGACTCGGTTCAATTCCCAGGCAGAGCACATACCTAGGTTGCATGTTCAATCCCCAGTTGGGGCACAAAAGGGAGGCAACAATTGATGTTTCTCTCTCTAAAATCAGTTAAAAAAAAATCCCTGGATATTGAAAAAAAACAACAATACTTAAGAGCACTCTATTCTTTTTTTCTTTATTGACTGATTTCTTTTTTAGAGAGAGAGAGAAAGGGAGGGGAGTAGGTGGAAAGAGAGAGAGAGAAACACTGATTTGCCTTCATTGGTTGACTCTTATATGTACCCTGAACAGGGATGGAACCTGCAACCTTGGGGTATCGGGACAATGCTCTAACCAATTAAGTTACTGGGCCAGGGCTAGAGAACTGTGTTCTTAACAAGGGGAACCTAGTTACCCAGAGCCTAACCTGAAAGGTATCATCACCAGAGCCTGATGTGGGAAGTACTCAATTCCAGTCCACTCTAGCTATCCTGTCCCACCTAAAGGGGGTGAAAAAAAACAACCCTTGTGTGGTTGACAGTCCAGAAGCAGTGTCACTAAAAGACTGAGACCTAATCCGAGGACTACAGAACGCTGCCTGTCCCCAAACCTCACTACATTGCTAAATGCCTGTTTACAGCAGTTTCTTTTATACAGTATACCATGCCTGGCTATCAAGAGAAAATTATATGGCATATTAAAAGGCAAAAAGCAGGTACTCGCCTCCTCCCACAACCACATCAAAATAACAACTAAACTACAGAACGAACATCCTTCAGAACCGTCTGAAATCAAGCTGAATGGAAGTCCTACAACTATGAAATTAAAGAAGCAGCCACATCAAGACTGGTAAGAGGGGTGGAGGCGCGGACAGGCTGGCCCCACACCCACATGTGGCAGATAAAAATCAGGAGAAACACCTGGCTGTGAAGGTCCTCCCTGAGGAGTGAGGGGTCCCCGTCCCACACCAGGCGCCCAGCCCAGGGTTCCAGTGCCAGGAAGAGAGGTCCCCATAACTTCTGGCTATAAAACCAGTAGGAACTGAGGCAGAGTGGGGCTGAGGCTTCTGGAGGCCCAGGCAGCTCCTCTTAAAGGGCCCGTGCACAGACTAACTCGAACCCACTCCCTCTGAGCTCCAGCGAGGAAGGGAGGCAGCTTGAAAGGCACCAGAGGCATAGGGGGAAGAACTGAATTGTTTGGCAGTGGGGCGAGAGCTGGAGAGGCAGCTTTCTCCCGGACAGACCTGCTGGTGGCGGCCTTTGTTCCTTTGGTGAGCCCTTCCCCCACATGGCAGGCAGACGTGTGCCAAAGCTGGGATTCCAGCAACTGGCCTCACACTGTTGGCCCTGCCCTGGTGATTCCCTGAGGCCCCGCCCACCCAACTTTCAGGCCCACCCAAGCTGTTTCCAAAGGCTTTACCATAGGATAGGCCTATTTTGGATCCTGCTTCAGATTTTCCTAAATTCTCTCAAACAAGCAGCATCTGGCCACAGCGAGACCAATACCTCTTGCCAAGTAGCTCCAGGCCCAGCACTAGAAGCAGCCATCCTTGGTTCACAGCTTGGCTTTACCTGGGCACCTCCAAGCCCAGCACAAGAGCAGCCATCTGCAGATCACTTTGTAACTTATGCCTGGTGGCCCCAGATGGAACACAGGCAGTGGCTGACCTTGCCCCAGAGCCAGCACACCCAGTGGACAGCTTCAGACCACTCTGAAGCATCACCACCCAACCACCTCCACAAGTGACACACTCAAGGAATGGACTTGGGGCATGCCAGAGCCCTGCTAAAGTCTTGCTCTGTGTGGTGGGCTTCTGCACAGCTGATCATCCAAGGTAGTCAGAGGTCAGTGGTCAGTGGGCACAACCAGTCCTTGCAGCTGATCAGCCTGTATAAAATCCTCCCATTGACATCCCAACAGCAATCAAGACTCAATTACAACAGAAGGATGGACAGTCCACACTAGGGGTGCACCTCGAGGGCCCAGCGGGGTGATCAGGGAGGCTGTGTCACTGGACCCTACAGGACACCTACCACAACAGGCCGCCCAGGAAGCCTAGGAGACAGCAACTCTACCTAATACATAGAAACAGACACAGGGAGGCAGCCAAAATGAGGACACAAAGAAACATGTCCCAAATGAAAGAACAGAAAAAAACTCCAGAAAAATAACTAAATGAAACAAAGATAAGCAATCTAACAGATGCAGAGCTCAAAGGACTGCTTATAAGGACGCTCAATGAACCTAGTGAGGGCCTCAAGAGCATAATAAAGGACCAGTCAGAAATGAAGGATGCACTAACTGAAATAAAGAATAATTTACAGGGAATCAATATAGAGTAGGTGAAGCCAAGAAGCAAACCATCAATTTGGAATATAAGGAAGCAAAAAATACCCAATCAGAACAGCAAAAAGAAAAAAGAATTAAAAAAAATGTGTATAGTATAAGGAGCCTGTGAGATGACTTCACGCATACCAGCATTCGCATCATGAGAGTGCCAGAAGGAGAAGAGAGCGGGCAAGAAACTGAAAACCTATTTGAAAAAATAATGAAAGAAAACTGCCCTAACTTGGTGAAGAAAACAGACATACAAGTCCAGGAAGCACAGAGGGTCCCAAACAAGATAAACTCAAAGAGGTCCACACCAATGCACATCATCAACAAAATGCAAAAGGTTAAAGACAAAGAGAATTTTTTTTTAACAAGTTTTGTTTCCCCTCTATTAATTTTTAGAGAGAGGAGGTGAGAAGGAGAGACAGAAACATCGATGAGAGAGAACATCGAATGGCCTCCTCCTGCATGCCCAGTGGGGATCAGGCCCACTACCTGGACATGTATCCTGACTGGGAATCAAACTGGTGACCTCTTGGCGCATGGGTTAATGCTCAATCACTGAGCCACACCAGCTGGACTAAAGAGAGAATCTTAAAAGATGCAAGAGAAAAGCAGTTAGTTACCTACAACAGAGCTGCTATAAAATGAAAAGCAGAGAGAAAATCCTGAGGAAGAACCAAACAAATGCTGGAGCTCAAAAATACCATCACAGAAATAAGAATGCCCCTGATGGGCTTATAAGTAAACTGGACAGAGCTGAGGAAATAGTCTGAGTTATCCCTGGCTGGTGGCTCAGTTGGTTAGAGCATCATCCTGTACACCAAAAGGTTGTGGTTCGATTTGCCATCAGGGCACACACCTAGGTTTCAGGTTTGATACCTGGTTGGGGTGCATATGGGAGGCAACTGATCGATATTTCTCTCTCTCACTTCTCTCTGAGTTATATATCAGCTGAAGCCTCCAACACTGAAAAAGCAAAGTGAACAGAAGACTGAAAAAGCAGAACAGAGAGGACTATGGGATAATTTTAAGAGGTATACCATGTACACAATGGGAAGAGAGACTGAAATAATCTGAAATACTGGGAGTGATTGAATGGTTGAGTGGGATACTCACGCTTACTCTCATCTGAGTACCTTACCTTGGAGGCATGCACTGTGAATTCCATTTTCCACGGCCTCTTGGGAGCCCTTCAAAATGTCTTCACTAACACTCTCAGCATACTCAATAACTGGCACAACAGACGATGTTTCAACTGGCTTTGCTTCCAGTTCTACAGTCACAAGATGCCGTCTGTCTCCTAAAGTTCTATCTAAGGTATCTGTAAACGAATTAAATATAGTACCTCAAAGACTTGTTTTGAAAAGGTGTCAAGGTGCCACAACTGAGAAAACAACAATCAATAAGTTTGCACTCTCATGGAAGATACAGTGGGAGAAAATATCAACAAGGCACTACGTACAGTATAAAAATGTCAGAGTAAGTAGTTCTACCAAGAAAGTATCTGCTTCCATGTCTATCAATGCTAAAAACACACTCTGAATCACCTATTAATATTGCTTTAGTTAAGAAGCTTTGAGGTAGATGATCACACAAATTATGATAAACAGATTATGCTCAAACTTTTTGAAATATCTCTTATGTGACAAATTCTATTTATAAAAGTTTTATTTAAAAGTAAAACATTTAGAGTACAAAAAGTTGTCTAATGAAAAATAAAAGGACACTAACCCTGATAACCTACAAACTATTATATTTCATATATTCTTCAAGCAATATTCTATGTATTTAAAGTTTATGCTTTCCCCAAAAACTAGTGAAATGTCTTTTTGTAAAACTGAAAATAGTAGCTAACAACCAATAGCTGTCACCAACCTGCAGTATTTTACTAAAACAAAACTATGCTGTATTTATGTGACTATGTTATGCAGTGATTCATGGCCCACATTCAAAACTAAGAATGTTATAGTATACAATTCCTCTTTTATAATTCCTTTTTAAGCTAACTTTTATATTATGAATTATTTTATACTTACAGATATGTGCATAAGCAAAAAAATGAATATTCAGGAAACTTAAAATTACTAAAGGAACACAACATTACTAGTAACCTAGAAACCTTCTGAAGCAACCACTACCGTGACATCATATTTAAATCATTACTACAATTTTCTTTACAATTGTATCACATATGCATGTATCCCTAAACAATATAGTTTATTTCTGCTTCATTCTGAATTTGTTAGTTTATTTTATGTATTCTGCAACTTGCTTTTTTGGCTTCATGTTTATGGGTCATATGGGCTGATAAGGGTTGACAGAGCACAGTATTTTTCACTGCTGTATAATATTCCATTGTAGGAACATGGTGCCATTTATTTATCCATTCCTTCCTCCACAAATACTTGGGCTATTTTTCTACTTACAGGTTTGTTTGTTTTTTAATCACAATGCGATTATGAAGATTTTTATGTGTCTTTCCATGCCCATGGATAAGCATTTCTCTAGAGCATATACCTAGGAGTGGAATTGCTGAATAGTAAGGTATGCACTCAGTAAACTTCACAAGAAAGTTGCCAAATTGTTTTCATAGTGGTTATAAAATTTACACTTCCACCAGAAGTTTTTATAAGTTTCCAATGCACACCATCTCACCATTCTGCATTGTCAGATTTTAATTCCTGCCAATTTCGTTAGTATAAAGTAGTGTCTCATACTTTTAACTTGCATGATCCTAATCATTACTGAGATTGAGAATCTTTTAATATGTTCATGGGCCTTCTGGGTATCATCATTTGTGATATATCTGTTCAATATTGTTGGCTCACTTTTCTACTTAGTTATCATGTTTTTATTGATCTTTAGAAATTCTTTATATATTCTGGATACTAATTTTTTTGTCAGGTTACATGGTGCAAATATCTTCTCTTAGCTTTTGATATATCTTTTTGCTTTATTATGTAATAAACAAATTATTAATTTTAATAACATCAAAATGAGCAATCTTTACTTCACCGTTTCAACTTTTGGTATAAGCCCAACCCTGTCCTGGTTAGTAAGGCAATTCCCCTACATTTTCTTCTAAAAAATGAAGGTTTGCCTATCAAAGTTTACGGTTTTTAATTTTTTTTTATTTTGGCATACATTAGCACTTATTTTCTTTATATTTTGTGCAAAGGGAGATTTTGCAACTGTTCTTTCATATTTAAATTTTTTAACTCATTTGGAATTAAGTTTTGTGTATAGTATGAAGTAGGAATCTAATTAAATCTTTTTCCCTATGGATAATTATTCCAAGGAATTATTGAATTGTTAGTCCATCCTTTCCCACTGAGCTGCAATATCACTCTGACATAAATAAAATTTCCACATTATGCATGAGTCTGTTCCTAGGTTTTCTGGTTTGTTCCACTGATCTGTTTGTCTATTTATAGCTTGATTAGTATCATAAAGGCTATGGCTTTATAATAAGTATTAATGTCTGATATATTGGGTAGAATTGGTAGCTTCATGATATTTAGTCTTCTGGTCTATGAATAGCAGGATCTGCCAGCTCAGGTCATTTTTAATGTCTGTAAATTTCTGTAATTTTCTGGATGTACACAATGTCAATTTGCCCCTCATTATCACAAGTGATTTGATCTTCCAGTCAAGGTATGGTCTGATTGGTGCAGCATTTTACTTTCTTTTTTTTTATAAACCTTGTAACTAATAAGCAATCTGTGGTTAAATGTTAAAACCATGCAAATATGCTGCTCCTCTACAATGTACTCAACGTTAAACATTCACAATAGTTGCAAAATGACTATTTTCCTGCCTCCTCCACAACGAATAACACTTTTAGAGACTCATGAATTCCTTTTTACTCCATGGTCTATAATTACTGTATTTAAGACTAAATATCATGAAGCTATCAATTCTACCAAGTGTATCAGACATTGATACTTATTATAAAGCCACAGCCTTTATGATACTGAATCCAGATTTGGCCAGTGGAAACTCTTCAAGTTGGTCCCTGTGTCCTTAAGACATGCCCTGAATCATTTTTTGAGCATTTTCATTCTTACACAACATGTTCCATGCCTGATTATTTCTGATAGTAACTTCTTCCTTATCAATACCTTTCATTTCCTTTTATTTCTATAAAAACAATAAATAGCCCTGGCCGGTTTGGCTCAGCGGTTAGAGCGTCCACCTGCGGTCCGGAGAGACCTGGGTTAGGTTCCCGCTAAGGGCATGTACCTCGGTTGCAGTTTGTCCCCGGCCCTGGTTGGTCGTGCGGGTGGCAGCCACTCGATGTGTCCCTTTCACATCGATGTTTCCCTCTCTCTCTCTTCCTCTCTCTCCCTCCCACTCTGTCTGTACAAAAAATGGAAAAATGTCCTCGAATGAGGATTAAAAAAAAAAACAAAAAACCAATAAATATACCTATTTTATATTCTGCATCTGATAATTCCAGTTTCAGAGACTTTTGCTGGTCTGACTGCTGTTTCTACTGCCTTTTTGCTCACTGTGCCTTTTCTCATGGTTTTATGATTTTAAAACTTTATTGTGATTTCATATTTCTTTATCTGTGGGATTTTCTTTGAGGCCTGGGCTGAAGATACATTTATGTAGAGAGGCCCTTTGTTCGTTGTCAACAGATTCCTGTGAATATTACTAGTTTTTCAGGTCATACTGATTCTATAAATTTAGGCTGAAAACCCTATCAGAAGCCTATGTTACAATTTCTCAGACATTCTGCCCCTTGCCCCCAGAGCCAGTTAGACAAGTTTTCTTGTCTTCCTTCATGAAGACGACTTTCCTAGTTAATTGTGTCCATGAGAATGTGGACCTCAAGTACTAGGTTAGAGATGACTGCAGACTCCTCCAGAATAACCAGTGGCGTTTGGTGCTGTCTTATTTCCCAAGATTCTTGCTCCAGCTTCCTTTTTTTTTTTTTTTTTTATCCTCACCCGAGACATTTTTCCATTTTTTGTACAGATAGTGTGGGAGGGAGAGAGAGGAAGAGAGAGAGAGGGAAACATCGATGTGAAAGGGACACATCGAGTGGCTGCCACCCACACGACCAACCAGGGCCGGGGACAAACCGCAACCGAGGTACATGCCCCTAGCGGGAACCGAACCCGGGTCTCTCCGGACCGCAGGCGGATGCTCTAACCACTGAGCCAAACTGGCCAGGGCTCCAGCTTCCTTTTTGACCTCTAGAAATTTCTACTACATTCTAACCAGCTCAGGCATTAATTTTGTTTTTTGTTAATCCTCACCTGAGGATATTTTGCCTCCTGCATGATCCTGACCAGGGCCCACGGACCACGGCCCACGGCCCACGGCCCAGGGCCGGGGATCGACCTTGCAACCCAGGTGTGTGCCCTTGACCAGGAATCGAACCCACGGCCCTTTAGTACATGGGCCAACGCTCTAACCACTGAGAACCCAGCCACGGCTCAAAAATTAATTTTAAATACATTATTTATAATTTCTCAGCATTTTTAGTTTTTCCAGATACAAAGTTCAGAAACAGAAATACTTGTGCCATTTGCTCCTATATTCTATTTGATTTGTTTTTCAAGTTTCAGTGAGTGGCTTAAAAGCACCTGGTTATACTAAACATCTCTTCTCTATATTTTTTTAACAAAACTGTCCATGTTTTCTCTTTGGGAAGAACAGCAATAATGTCATGTTCTTTTGCTTAAAGAAACAAAATTAAAACTACGAATCATGAATCCTTACATTCTAGGACACAGACATAGAAACTGCACTTTTACCAGCATAGGGTTACTGTATTTATTAGAGTGGAAATTATTTTCCACTCACTTTACAGAGGAAAAATAAAACATCAACTTCATTCTTCTGTTTCTTCTTTTTAATTTTTTTGTGTCTGTTTTGTTATTTTTTATTTTATTTTTTGAAATTAATTTACTTTTGTTACAGATGTTTCTCCTTTATCCCCCAGTGATTCCCCCTCCCACTCCCTCAGCACCTTGTCCCCAACTTTGTTGTCCATGTCCACTGTTCATGCATACATGCATATAAGTTCTATGGTTCATCTCTCCCCCACCACCTCCTCTTCTGGGGATTGTCAGTCTGTACCCCACTTCCATGTCTCTGGGACTACCCCATTCCTCAGACTGTTATGTTCATTATATTCCACAAATAAGTGAGATCATATGATACTTGTCTTTCTGTTTTGCTTGTTTTGCTTAGGATAATACTTTCCAGGTCCCTCCATGTCATTTCAAAGGATAAGAGATCTTTCTTTCTTACAGCTGCATAGTACTCCGTTGTGTATATGTACCACCGCTTTTTTACCCATCGTCCACTGATAGACATTTGGGCTGTTTCCAGATCTTAGCTATTGTAAATAGTGCTGCTACGAACATGGGGGTACATATATTCTTTCTGATTGGTGTTTCAGGCTTCTTAGGGTATATTCCTAGAAGTGGGATCACTGGGTCAAAAGGAAGTTCAATTTTTAATTTTCTGAGGGAACACCATATTGTTTTCCACAGTGGCTGCACCAGTCTGCATTCCCACCAGCAGTGTACTAGAGTCCCCTTTTCTCCACACCCTCGCCAACACTTGTTTGATGATTTGTTGATGGTGGCCATTCTGACAGGTGTGAGGTGATACCTCATTGTTATTTTAATTTGCACCTCTCTGATGATTAGTGATGTTGAACATTTCTTCACATGTCTTTTAGCCATTTGTATGTCCTGTTTGCAGAGGTGTCTATTTAGTTCCTCTGCCCATTTTTAAATTGGGTTCTTTGTCTTCCTTTTGTGGAGTTGTATGAGCACTCTATATATATTGGAAATTAACCCCTTATCTGATACATCATTGGCAATTATGCTCTCCCATACAGTGGGTAGCCTTTCTGTTTTGATGATTGTATCTTTCGCTGTGCAGAAGCTTTTAAGTTTGATGTAGTCCCATGTGTTCATTTTCTCCTTTATTTCTATTGCCTTAGGTGATGTATCAGTGAAAATTCTGCTGTGTATGATGTCTGAAATTTTGTTGCCTACATTTTCTTCTAGGATTTTTATAGATTCATGAGTCACATTTAAGTCTTTTATCCATTTTGAGTTTATTCTTGTGAAGGGTGTAAGTTGATGGTCTAGCTTCATTTTTCTGCATGTAGCTGTCCAATTTTTCCAGCACCATTTATTAAAGAGGCTGTCCTTACTCCACTGTATGCTCTTGCCACCTTTGTCAAATATTAATGAGCATATTGCCTTGGGTCCATTTCTGGGTTCTCTGTTCTGTTCCACTGGTCTATATGCCTGTTCTTGTGCCAGTACCAGGCTGTTTTGATCACAGTGGCTTTGTAGTATAAACGGACATCTGGTAATTGGACTGATTTTCAGATTTCCAAATTAGAGTCAACTGTACATTTACACAGAATTGTCTGCATGAAGCCCAAAAGGGAACAGCATAAAAATGAGTGTTTCTGTAGCCCCTTTATTTTTGCCTATCAACAGTTTGTTAGAAAAGCAGCAGCAGGTTTGTTACTGAAAGTCTGAGACAGTAGAAGAGTCAAAGGTGTCATGAATTCACCTGTAAACAACTTTATGCCTGAACATCAGCCAATTCTGGAGGAAGTGGAGTCTTAGGATGGTTGCTCTCAAAGTGCTGCTTGCAGGTCTCAGGGTCTGGCATTTGTGTCTTACAGATAGCGCAGGTATATATTAAGGCAGCTTTGGCAGCAGCCTTTTGGTCATGTCCTTGTTTCTTCTTTTGTCCAGCTTGCTTTTTGGCATTTTTCTGCTGAGCCTGAATCTTCTGCTGTCCACGAGCCATATCCGGGCCGCGGCAGTCTTGCGTCGGAGAGACCGCACAGCGTGAAGGGGCTGGGGGAGGTGTCCGGAGGCAGCGGAAAGGGGAGTGCACCCAGCACTGCTTGGGTCTCCTCCGCCCACCAAAGAGGGGAAAGAGGAGATGTTTCCTCTTTTTTTAAGCTATGTGTCTCAGTTTTGTTTTTTTTTGTGTGTGTGGTTACCATTAGGTTTATGAAAAAGGAAGTTTCATATCTATAGTAGTCCTTTTCTTTGCAATGCATCTGATCCAACTTCAAGTTCTTACAGTCACTCTGGTAGTGGGGACTGGGATAAGTCATATTCCATGACCACTGAAAAGCACATCTGCTCGATGAGTGGCTCATTTGTACATGTAATGAGTGGTAATGGAATAGGGCTGTGTTTAAAATTTTAAAATCCTAAAAAACAAAGTACACATACAAAGCCTATCTCCACTGATGGAAAACACAAGTGACCATAAATCCTGCTTGCAACTAAAGTTAAGAGATTCAGAAAATAGATCCTGGAGAGAAAGAGATAAATAAAAACAGCAAATGTCTTATTTTTTACCTGTGGCACAAACTGAATTTAGGATGGTCTCCCGGTATGCCACTTGAAGAGGCCCTAGATAAGTTTCCAGTCCATATTCCCTCTTGATTCGGTCATGAATAATCTCTATATGTAACTCCCCCATTCCACATAGGACAGTCTGGTTTAAAATAAATAAATAAATAAATAAATAAATAAATAAATAAATAAATAAAAAAAACACTGATCAAGAAAAAATTATACTTATCACAAAATACTATATAAAGGTACATCAATCTATGTTATTTTTCATTACAAACTGAGTTTCTTTTGCAATTTTTTTTTTGCTCCTTCATCAAAACACTTTTTAATTTTTCTGATTGGAATAATCAATTAAAAGTGGATTACTAATACATTCTCTTCCTTGATATTATCATTCCATGACACTTAGCTGAGCAAGTGGCATTAGCTAGGCCTACACTTTCCAACTACAGAGCTAAGTTCTGGCCAACAGAACAAATGACTTTTAAAACAGAAGCTGGCAAGTTCTGGGCTGTGCCTTTAAAGAAAATATTCCTTCTCTTAAGGGAAAGGTAGTAAGCAACTGTCTTGAAATGTGTAGATGAGGACAGCATCTTATGAATGGGAGAAGAAACTTTCTCCCAAACATTCCCAACCACATGGGTACTTCCCAACTATCCTGGGCACCTTATAGCTTTGTGGACAGTCCAAACTTCCAGACTCATTTCGACCTTCATGTGACAGAGAAGCTGACTTTTATTTTCTATGAACCAATGTTATTTTGGGCCCTTGTTAGAACAGCCAAATTTGTATCAAAACCAATTAAGACATGTATTTTTTTTTTTTTTTTTTTTTAGCAACAATGGCTAAAGATCTTTGTGTACGAGAAAGAGTACAATGCAAGAAATCCATATTTGCTCCATTTTATTCATATGCCATGTGTGTAGTAAAGAATTTACCCAAAGAGAGATCTGGCTGTCGCCCTCAGCTACTGAGAAATTATCTCGAGGCCAGGATGCTGCCTTCAATAGAAGTGTCTTCTCTCGTCTGGGGACTCTATCCACCAGCTGGTCAAACAATGTGATTTATGATGCAGGTTTTGGAAGAGACATACCAGTTCCAACCTGCAGAGTAAAGGTATCAGCCCAAACGTACAGGAGGTGCTGTAGGTTAAAGGTCAACCACACAGGCAGTATGTGATTGAGCTCCAATAAAAACTAAACACCAAAGGCCCTGGTGGGGCTTCCTGGTTGGCAACACTCTGCCAGAAGGGTAATATATCCCCAAGGGTAAAGAAAGCTTCTCATTTAGAACTATCCTGGACTTTGCCCTATGAGTCTCTTCCTTTGGTTGGTTCTAATTTGTGTCCTTTTGCCGTAATACAACTATAATTGTAAGGAACAACAACAAAAAAGACTTGGTGTATGATTGTTATACTTCAATGTAAAGTTAAAGAAATGAATTACTTGGAGAAAAGCAGAATACTACAAGTAGAATGATGTGTTATATATCTGTACATATATATTTGGAAAAAATACTCTGTGCTTTATAACGCAGCACAGCAAAAAAAACAAACAGATGTTTAAGAGAGTGAAAGGCTATATTCATCAAGGGTTACCTGTGTAGGACTGAGAAACAGGAAAACTTTAATTCTTTAACCTATATGCTTGTATGTTATTTGATATTTTAAAAAAAATATGTATTGGCATTTTTTAAATAAAAGTTTTTAAAAATATAAAGTTTCTGTTTTAATTGCTGTTGTAGTATTCGGGATCAATTAAACTAAATTACTACTCATTTACCTGGCATTTGGGAGAAATAAATACCCCGTATTTTCAGATTAACTAAAACAGTTCATTCTCTTTAGAGACAAATTTTTATATATATGTATATATATGTATGTGTGTGTGTGTATATATATATATATATTTATTTTTTGCTGTTGTTTTCGATCCTTACCCATAGATATTTTTTCCACTCATTTTTTTTTAGAGCTGATGTTCTAACCACTGACCAACATTTCCAAGGGTGTTAAAAAGCTGCTTTTTCTAAAATCTTATGTAAATTTTACCCTGCCTTCCTAGAAAGAAACAAAATAAACATCTATTCTTCTCCTGTGCTGTAATATACAGCACAATTCTGTACTTACTTTAGAACTCTATTTCTTCCCACATTGCTGGGTTGTAATCGATCACTTCTCACCCATCTTGTGTGTGTCATTATCATTAAAAGTCCCTTTGACCCTCCCTTTAGTATGCTGCTTCTATAAGCCTTAGCATAAGAGGTTCAAGGCTTTGTCTTGAGGTTGAAACTCACTTGAAAATTTCACAAAAGGTGGCCTCTTCTGGATGGTCTAAGTGTTTCAGAACAGTTTATATAAGTGAGGTATAATTATTTTAAGAAATTAAGGAGAACTTGTCTATTTAGATAGTCAACATAATAATTAGAAGTTTATTGTTATGAGAACAAAAAAGAAAGTTTCTTTTTTAAGGGCAGAGACCAATCACATATTTTAGATATATGCACTCATGCGCACACACACACGCACTATATTACTGACAGATTTTTGGGATTAAGTAACAATACGCCTACCTGTCCAGAGTCAGGATCAAGCCTTACTTTCAAACTGGGATCTTCACGCTGAAGGCATTTCAATGCATGATCCAAATCTGGGGAATTAAAAAAATGGTTATTTTTACATTTCATTTTTAAGATAATATACCATTAGGTCTAGTGGGAAAAATAGATAAACAATTAAACAAATTTTGAAAAAGAAAATTCCAAACAGCCATAAATGTTTTGTAGAGAATAAAATAAGGTGCTAATATAGTGACAGGAGGTTACTTGAGATTAGGTGATCTGGAAAGACCTCTCCAGGATGATTTGGGTAAAGACATAAAACAAAAAGAAATGATCTTATAAGCGACATGCTGAAGAAAAAGAATTCCAGATGGAGGAAATGGCTGTGCAAGGAATAATTTGCTGTTGGAAAAACAAGGAGGGCAGAGCAGCTCCACACTGGCGGGCAGCAGGGAGAGTTGCATTGGATGAAGAGGGAGATGCTTGCAGGTTTTGCAAGTCATCGTGAAGTTTAGATTTGCAATGAGAAGCCACTGAAGGGTGTAAGTGAACAGTAACATCATCTGATCTTTGCAAAGATCAATCTAAAAGCTGACAATCTAAATGCCTTCAGAAACACAGGCAATGATGAGAAATTGATAAATGTAAGCTAAATTACATCATAGAGATGATAATGTAATCACTCTATGATAAATAATCACAAAGAGAAAACATATTATTTTCATTAAATGTACCATCAAAAGTGATACTTTAATATAATCAATTAACTGATCCATATACCCTGCCTTTATAAAATACGTTAGAAGTTCCACAAAGTGTAGCTGAAGTAAAGAGCTGAGCAATGGATTAATGAACTAACCTTATCAGTCACACATTTAAACTGTTCTTAGGTATATAAACCAGGCCATCTAGACCTGCACTATTCAAATGGCAACCACTAGCCTTTGTGGTAGATATTACCATCTGAATTGACATGCGCTATTGAGTGTAAAACACACACCAGGTTTCTCAGACTTAATATGAAAAAAAAAAAAAAAAAGACAATAATCTATCTCAATTTTTAAAATATTGATTATATGTTCAACTGATTTTTTTTATATACTGGGTTAAGTAAAATGTATTATTAAAGTTAATTTTGCCAATTTAACTATTTTTAATGTGGCTGTAAGAAAATTTCAGGTTACATAAGTGGATCATGTTATATTTCTACTGAACAATGCTGTTCTAGACTCAATCTTCTGAAGCTGGGTTCAAGGATCTTGTTAGAAATACAGAATCTCATGTTTTTGGCTGAATCAGAGTTTGCATTTAATAAGAACTCCAAGAAATGTATATGCACAACCAAGGTTAAGAGGCATTAATTTAGGTATTATTTATTTTAAGCACCTACATATAAAAAAAGTTAACAATGCTTATGATACTTTGTGGCTCTTGGAATGAAAAGATGGTAATTTTATTATAAAATAAGTTTATTTTAAAATATTGGGGTGAAAACACTCATAGCATTATAACACAGGGTGTCATATCCTATAATAGGACCATAGAGCAAATACAATGGAAACACAGAAAAAAGATTATGTAGATCTGCTTGTAAGAAGGAGGCTCCGGGCAGTCCCCTCCTCTCTGGGGTTTAGGACATCTAAGATAATGCCCATTAATTAGACTTTCTTTGGACACCGAACCTTTTCTCCTAAAGTAGCTAAGGATTGAGGCCTTAGATTTAAAATTGGCCAGTGAAACTTATCTACAATCCTAACATTTGAATATAGCTGGCCACAGTACATTTGACATATGAAATGACTTTTGAGTATATTTAAAAGAATTCATAGGTTACTGGGGGTGGGAGTAGCCCCTGTCTTTAAGTGTATGGCCACACTGGGCAGAACTAGCTTAGTCAAACTTGATGTAACTGGGAGCCATGTTCTTATCACCTGATCCTTTCTCAGAGTCAAGACTACTTTAGCCAGCCTCGGGGCATTTTAAGGTAACAAGAAAACTGCTGCTACACCTGTTTTGTTTTGTTTTGTTTTTGTTTTTATCCTCACCTGAGGACACTTTTCCATTTTTTGTTCAGATAGAGTGGGAGGGAGACAGAGAGAGAGAAACATCGATGTGAAAGGGACACATCAAGTGGTTGCCGCCTGCATGACCCAACCAGGGCCGGGGAAAACTGCAACAGAGGTTTGTGCACTGCGGGAACCGAACCCAGGTCTCTCTGGACCGCAGGCTGATGCTCTAACCGCTGAGCCAAACTGGCCAGGGCTGCTACACCTGTTTTAATTTAAATGCCATTCCTTTACCAACTGGACAAGAAAAGACCCAGCTTCTTCAGTACCTGGGGGCTTATACCTGTACTCATACTTGCACTTGGATTTCTTTCATGAGAACTTCCACTGGAGAGGTGAGGAACTGGAACTGCCACTTGCCTAGGAATCCTCTTTTTCCCACTAGGTACTCAAAAAGATTTGGGAGGCAATCAAGGTTGCCTTTGTTTTTCCATAATCTGAGAGTCCAACTTGTTTTCAAGGGGGGAAAATGGCTTCTAATGCCACCTCTACAACTAGACAGTTTGTCCTGTAACAGTCTAATACAGGAATGCAGTAAGGGCTTTGAAATCAGGGGGTGCTTAAGCTGATACCTACAGAAAGAATGAATATTTTCCAAGCAGACCAATTCATAGGTATCATCATAATGCAAGAGAGAACAAAGGAAAAGAAATAGCAATGCAAAAGACCATGGCATCTTCAGGAAGTCAGATCTTTTTTTTTTTTTTTTCTAGCGGGAGAGAGAGGAAGAGAAAGAGAAAAACATAGATGTGAGAGACACACATCGGGTGGCTGCCACCCACACCACCCCAACAATTAGCAACCAAGGCACGAGGCCCTAGCGCAAACCGAACCAGGACTCCCTGATCCGCAGGTTGATGCTCCAACTGCTGAGCCAAACCACCCAGGGCCAGATCTATTTTTTTATGGCAGTGTAAGGTATGAATAGTTACTCTGTTTTTATTTATTTATTATTATTTTTGTTTGTTAATCCTCACCTGAGGATATTCTTCCACTGATTTTAGATGGAGTGGAAGGGAGGGAGGTAAGGGGGGAGAGAGAGAGAGAAACATTGATGTGGGAGAGAAACATTAACTGATTGCCTCCCGTACAACCCAGACCATGGCCGGGGATCAAATCTGCAACCCAAGTATGTGCCCTTGACTGGAAATCGAACCTATGACCCTTTGGTCCACAGGCTGACACTCAAACCACTGAACCAAATCAGCCAGGGCTCTGTGTTTATTTTTGTTTGGGTGAAAGAAGAGGTTTCAGAACAAAATAGGGCATTTCAAGAAATGAGGCCCGGCAAGAAAGTCAGTGTCAAAGATTCCTAGTAGCCTCCTATTCTCCTGCTGCCTAGCTAAAAGACTGCATTTACCAAATTCCTTCACAACTGGGTGGCCATATATTTAAGTGATGGCCAATGACATACAAGAAATCTTAAAAGGGAAAGGGGCACATCTTCTTTCTCCCCATTACTCCTTTCTGCTGCCAGGAACTCCAAAGTGATGCCCAAGGCTCTCCAGCAGCCATCATGAGATCACTAAGGATAGGAGCTATGCACTCAGACAGGCAAGACAAAAGACTGGAGCCTGGGTGCTCATTGTGGGGTCACCCTCTAACCCCTGGGCTACCAACTCAAGGTGTATTTACAACAGAGAGAAATAAACTTTTGTCATTAAAGCAACTGTTATTTGGGGATTTTCTGCTATATTTAACCAAATCTAATAGGAAATACTATAGCCGGAATAATGAATTACACATGCCATACTAAAGAGTCTGGGTTTGTGCTTTAGTTAATGAAAAGTCACTGATGAATTCTGAGCAAATATGCTAAAAAACAAAGTATACAACACTAAAAAAGGTCAATTGACATTAACATAGTATATAAGTTATGTACATAGTATATCTTCATTGGGTTCCAAAGGTTGATCGAGAAAACAAAAAAAAGTAGCAATTTTATAAATGGTGATGAGAAACTGAGCCAGTTATGAATTGGTTACTAACTAATCTAACATGCAGTCCTGAGGTCAATTATTTAGAATCGCATAGGTAGCACCACAAGAACAACACTAAGGAAGAATGAATGTGATATGAGAAAAACAGCCAAGATACAAGAAAATAAAAAAATAAAAGCAGTTTGTAAAAATCAAAACATCGTATATAAATAACCACAGCAATCACAAGAAATACTTACCAACATATTTTGATAAAATTAAACTCAATCATATAAGAAATCTTTTGAGAATATAATGTAACTATTTTATCTAACTTATCAGATCACTAATTAATTGATACACCAAGACTATTTATACCTGGCTGCTTAGCCACTGAAGGGGGTTCTATGGAACAGAAGAAAACAGGTTCTGGAATCTCCACTCCAGCCAGTAAAAGTCTCTCTGTTTCACTGTTTTGTCTATGCTTCTGTTCTCCCTCCCTCTCGGCTCGACGAGCTGCAGCTAATGCGCTGGACTTGGATGAGACAATGGTGTCTCCAGTGGCAGTCTGCAAGCAAAAAGATGTCTTAGAATAAAACAGGTTGTTGGCAAGCACTCAGCTTCCACCAAGAACCACAAAATAAGAAAAAATTTAATGTGATATTTTCTTTCCATCAATACTTAAAAGACAGACAAATTCATAAAGCTCATAACTTTGCACAGGTAAATCTAATTTATATGAAAATTCTATGCAAAACACTACTGTAGTAAATCTAACAATAACACACACACACACACACACACACACACACACACACACCCATATATATCCAAAATTCATTTGGCAAAACAAATGTAATTTCCTAAATTTTCAATCATGTAAGGATAAATTAGGATGGAAGTCCATTACAGTGTTTTGTCACCAGTAAAATTTCATTACTATTTTACAAAAAATTATCTATTAACTAAAATATGCAATTAAACAAAATACTCTTGACCATGCAAAACTGAGATTCCTAGTAGACTCATTTTTTTAAAAATATAATTTTACTTTTAAACTTATATATTATGAAGTTCTGTGCCAGTTTTCATCTCTGCAAAGACAGTCCTAGTGAAGCACTGGCCCAAACAGATTTCTGTAACTCCTTCAGATACATACCAGGGGCTCTTGCCTTCAGGTAGACAGAGGACAGTGCGATGGTAGAAGTCCAATTTCTGGACTAAGGGAATTTTCTGTAAAGGATTTTAAATCTTGCAATTTCATGAAGAGTTTAAAATGTTAAAAGTAACAATGTTTATAATATTCATTAATACCTGATTGGTTATAAGGTTAGATAAAATGGTGTGCAATGATCAAAACAAAACAAAAAAATCCAATGGAAATAATCTTAAAACATATGTATATACATGAAGCATATATCCAAGTATATTTTACTTGGATTTGAACTTTATATGAATACAATCCATGCTGTTAAGTCTTCTGCAATTTACTTTTCTTTCTATTAAATATATGAAATTCAACCATGTTGATGAATATGCTACAATATTCGTTATTCCACTACTGGTGGACATTTGGATTATTTATGGGCTTTTGCTATTATAAAATGCCTACTTTTAATTAAATATATAAGCTGTTATTTCCCAGAGAAACCATTTGGTCACTTACATGTTTAAGCCCAACAGTTAAAGCAATGTTGCCAGCAGTCAGTGAAGGGATTTCTACATGTTGGTCAGCAAATGGCAAAAGCAGACGACTTATTCTCTCCCTGTAAAACCATGATTTATATTAGTAAAAGTACTTTTAAAGAAACAAATACAGTTTTAGAAAACAAACTGAGCTTCTACTTACGTGCAGTTTCCATTAATATTATGGATGGCCAACTGGGGTTTTATCATGCCGGAATAAATGCGCATAAAAACCAGTGGTCCCCGCTGCTTGTCATGGAGAACTTTAAATGCCAGTGCACATAAGTCACCCTTATACCACTGCCTATAAAAATTAAGAGACATTCCAGAAAAGTCTTAAAATACACTTCCTACACATTTATACAGATCAGATCATAATTGCTGCACAAACTTAATCCTGACGTCCTCCAAAGAGCCTTCATATCTTCTAGTTTAGCTACCCAGACTGATTAAATAATGTCAGTACCTCACTTCCTCCATTGGAGTAAATTAACAGAGATCTTACCATTAATTCCTCAAAACTAAAAACAATGGAGTCTCTTCCAAATATTACCTCTATTTGCAAATAATTCCATAGTCAAGAGTTCCTTTCTCAAAAAATATACCTAGGAACATCACACTGCTTTCTCCAAAAACCTGTACAGGGTAAATAAATAGGTACTTTCCAATTACTGCTTTTACACTCTCTTCCCACTTTCTCTCCAGTTACATAACCATATAAATCTACACTACAAATATGAACTTGTTTACAAGCCAACATTCTTACAGAATGATGTCCTTAAACTGATGTTCATTGATAGGTTACATAAAGTTTGAATCGCTCTGAATTGCCAAATTCTGTGTACAAGTATATTTTTCTTAGGAAAAGCTCTGTATTTTCATTAGTTTCAAAGAACTCCATGACTCAAAGTAGGTTAGACATTTCTATTACAGAAATTCTCCAATCTTATTTCCTCCAGTTTTTAACTTTGTTTAATAAATACTTATACGGAAAGCTTACAATATACTAGGCACTGTTCCAGGTGCTTTATAAATGTTAACTCATTTAATTCTTGTAACAATCCTATGAGATAAGCCCTATTCTCATTTCACAGATGACAGGTTAAGCAACTTGGAAGAGCTTAGATTTAAATCCAGGTAGAACATAGTCCATGCTCACAATCACTCCACTGTATTGCCTATCCAACTGAGAGAGATGAAAAGTGGTTAATGTCCTAGTTAAAGGATTAAAGTCCAGTTTTGTCTGCCATTTTGCATAACACTTATTCAGATTTTAGAGAATTTATTAATAAGTACAAAGCTGTCAGTGACAACAGGAGTAAAACAATGACCTTTCTTTATAGCCACAAAATATCCTTTGAGCTTATGAAAAATCTTGAAATCTAGAATAAATATAAATATATGTATAGAATATTTATTTATCAAACATCCCCAGTATACAACCTTTTTTTTAAAAAAGCTAAGATGGCAAGGTCAACATACTTTTACACAGCAATAAATCCATATTCTTAGCTCCATCTGTAAATGTAGCAGGTTACAAGGGATAACAAACGTCCCTTTCAAGTAAAATTACTATGGCACTATATTATATCATTTACAATGATATTTCTCACCAATGTTGTTTTTAAAATATGGTGATTCGTATACTCTTTGTGAAAAAGACCTATTTGCCTACCTGTTTAATATGATTTTAATCTATGTAACTGCATACTTACAGAAATTCATAGCTGCGCTCTTCAGGTGAAGGCAAGTACATAGTAATAGCATCTAACAAGGGCTGGACCCCCTTGTTTTTCAGGGCACTTCCACAAAGCACAGGCACTGCTGTCTGAGCCAGTGTTACTCTGTGTATTGCAGTCTGTAGCTACAAAGCAGAGGTATAAATAAGTATTTTATGTGACCAGAAAATGGCCACATATATACAGTACACTGCTCAACCAAAATAGCTTAAATTAGATGTCTTTCCTAACCAACCATGTCAAGCAGGACTCATCACACACTTCCATCATTCCTCATGGCCTTATTCTTTGTTTTCTTTATAACATTAATCACTACCTGGTAATTATATATATATTATATATATAAAATATATATAATATATATATAATATATATAATATATATATAGCTTTAATTTTAATTAGTATTAAATTTAATGTAAAGTTTATATGAGCATTATAGTAAGGTCCATTGAAGACACTGCTAAATCCCAAAAACTAGAAATGTACTTAAAATAAAGTAGTCATTTAAAAATATTTCTTGAATAAATGAGTTAATATACTTGTGATTTTACCTTGATAATCTAATAGAGAAAATGATAAAAAATTCAGAATATAAATGAGCTACAATTTCTTCCAATGAACTAGAGCCATATTAAATAAAACTCCAAAGAAAATGAGAAGTCAAAGTAGAAAAAAAATTTTTGAAAGACCTCAAAAAACAAGAAAAGCTTGGGTGTACTTGCAAGCTACTGGTAAGAGAAATGATGAGTCAATTCTCCTTTAGACTGCGAGCTCTTTGAAAACAGAAATCATGTTCTATGACAGTAGGATATAATAAACATCACGCTTAAGCATTCAAATACTAAATAATAAAAAATGTCAAGATTATGGCATGTCATTTAAAAAATACTCTTTTTTTCACCTCAAATAACTTCAAATGGCTCAAAATTAATCTACAGCCTCATGGTTCTACTTCATTCCTTTCAGGAAAAATAAGTGAATTTGCTGGGCTCATTTTGGGCCCCATTATACATATTACCACTTCAAAACATTCTCTTTGGTAACTCTTATGTTTCATGAAGGAAAATGAAGAGTAACTTTGCCAAATTCATGGGGGAAAGGCCCTGGCAGGAATAAAAGAAAAAACAGGAATGTCTTAAAGAAATCTGTCACAATTTGCCTGACCAGTGTGGCTCAGTGGTTGAGCATCAACTCGTATACCAAGAGGTCTCCGGTTCGATTCCCGGTTAGGGCATAGCTCAGGTTATAGGCCTGATCCCCATTTGGGGGCATGCAGGATGTGGCCAATTGATGTTCTCTCTCATCAATGTTTCTATCTCTCTCTCTCTCTCCCTTCCTCTCTCTCTAAAGTCGATAAAGAAAAAAAAAAGAAAGAAATTGTCATAATTCAATTATTATCTGTATTTTATTTGCCTAGTCTCTGGTTTAATGTTTTTCAGAAGAAAACAAAAAAAGACCCACAATGAGTTCCCACTGAATATTAAAACAGATTCAGAAAAAATGTTCTTATTTAAATGGTCATTGTATGGTAGTTTGAAAAACCAGTAAATTTTTTTTTTTATCCTCACCCGAGGACATTTTTCCATTTTTTGTTCAGGTAGAGTGGGAGGGAGAGAGAGGAAGAGAGAGAGAGAAACACTGACGTGAAAGGGACACATTGAGTGGCTGCCACCGGCACGACCAACCAGGGCCAGGGACAAACTACAACCGAGGTATGAGCCCTTAGCGGGAACTGAACCTGGGTCTCTCTGGACCACAGGCTAACGCTCTAACTGCTGAGCCAAACCGGCCAGGGCAAAACCAGTAAATTTTAAATACAAATTTTCTTCCTGTGATTTCTCTAAAAATAGAGAAATGATCACAATGAAGAGAAAAGGCTGAGAATGAACAATTACCTTCTCTTGACACAATACAAGTAAAAATGATTCAATTTCTGAATTCTAAAAGTATAACCAAAAATAGTAAATCACTGCCATTATTAAATACCTGTATTAGTAGTGGCTTTATCTTAAAGTTCTCTTAATTTTTGTTTAAGTCAACATTTTGTATTAATAGTAACTTGACCTCGCCCTGGCTGGTTTGGCTCAGCAGTTAGAACGTCGACCTGAGGTCCAGAGAGACCCGGGTTCAGTTCCCACTAAGGGTATGTACCTCTGGTCGTGCCGGTTTGCAGTTTGATCCCGGCCCTGGTTGGTTGTGCGGGTGGCAACCACTCGATGTGTCTCTTTCACATCGATGTTTCTCTCTCTCTCTCTCTTCCTCCTACTCTATCTGAACAAAAAATGGAAAAACGTCCTCAGGTGAGGATAAAAACAAACAAACAAACAAAAAACACAACACAAAACAGAGAAAGCAAAGCACAATCAATGAGCAAAACTCAATCAAAGTAAATGAATAATAAAATGTACCTTTTCAGCTGGGAGCAAATCAAAATTTTCACTGAATTCTCCTAAAACCAATTCAGCAAATGCATCATCCAAATCTGCAATCTATAAAGAAAGGCTTTAGCTCTATAACTTGCATTTGTTGTCCAACTATTAACTTAAGTATAAATACCACAAACATACATTATCCAAATATTTCAAGACAGCTACATGATCTAACTTAACCAGGCCAAGGACTTCTTCCTATCTTCTAAAAAGAAGAGTTTTTCTTTCAAAGAAGATTAAAAATTGTAGATATACTATTATGAGTTTCCTAAATTCATGGCAAGCCCGAGCCAGATTAAGCATATCATTAAACTGCTATCTACTCAGATTGCTAAAAAGAAATAAAAGGTGCAATTTATAGCCAATGATAATATACACAATGGATTGCTGTTTTTAGATAAATCTGGGGGTCTTAGTTCATAAAAAACTTTTATCTAGTGTTCCTCTAATATTCTGAATATTCACAAGATCTCCTGAGACAAAGTAAACATCGATGTGAAAGGGACACATCGAGTGGCTGCCACCCACACAACCCAACCAGGGCCGGAGACAAACTGCAACCGAGGTATGTGCCCTTAGCGGGAACCGAACACGGGTCTCTCCGAACCGCAGGCCGACGCTCTAACCACTGAGCAAAACTGGCCAGGGCCCTGCTTTCAATTCTTTTGCATATATACCCAGAAGTAAAATTGCTAGATCAGATGTTAATTCTATTTTCAATTTTCTGAGGAACCACTATACTGTTTTCAGTGACTGTGCCAGTTTCATTCCCACCAACAATGCTAAAGGGTTACAATTTCTCCACATCCTTACACACTTACTTTGTTTTTATGACAATAACCACCTTAACAGGGATGATGTGGTCTTACTCTCTAATTCTGTACATATATATGCATTCCTTGTAATTACTTTATTATCTACTGAAAGTATATAATGAAAACAAAATTTGAGCCTTTTATGTCCTAGAATAATATGAGACACATAAGCACATTTATGTTGGCACCTCAACTAGATTATAAAGTCCTTCTTAGGTTTATTTTGATAGCCCTTTTGTAGAAGATAAAACCTCAAAAGAGAACCAATTATGAACCAATTACTGATTAATAAATGTCAATTCCGCCTGTATTCTTTTTATGTGCCCCCCCCACAAATTAGAGAAGCAGTAAGAGCTCAACTGAGACAGATCTGGGTTCAGATTCCAGTTCTGCTATTTATTAGCTATATGATGAATTATTTAAGCATGGCAAGCCTCTTTTTCCTCACCTGTAAATGGGGATAATATAGGCTGTTGTGAGGATTAAATAATATATGTAAAGCACTTAAGCTAAATCATAAGTTTTCAATAACTATTATCCAATAATAAAAATAACAATAATCATTGCCTGGCTGGTGTGGCTCAGGTTCTACATCAACCCATGCACCAAGAGGTTGCCAGTTCGAATCCCGGTCAGGCCACATGCCCAGGATGTGGGCCAAATCCCCAGTGGGGGACATGCAGGAGGCAGTCAATTGATGTTCTCTCTCATTGATGTTTGTATGTCTCTCTCCCACACCCTTCCTCTCTCTCTAAAATCAATAAAGGAAAAAAAATGTTTTAAAAAGATCATTATGTTAATAAAGTTGATACTTACTATTACAACAGAAAATAAATAAAAAAGAACTTCATACAAAAGATGAAGGCAACCAATCGATTTGTCTCTCTCACACTGATATTTCTCTCTCTCTCCCTCTCACTCTAAAAAATCAATGGAAAAATAATCTTGGGTGAGGATTAGCAATAACAACAACAACGACAACAACAACAAAATCAAGAGTTGAGATTCAAATGTTCTTTTCTACCATAAAATTCAGGGAGTTTAAGGTTTTACTTACTGTTCTATATACTAACAATATCATATAATTAGTATAAATATTACTAATCTTACTGTTTTTTACTAAAATCTTGAAGGTGGCTAAAGTATAAAATTATATAGTAACTATAAAATTAATGGTTTTAAAATTTTCTAAATAAGTTGACATACGGTCAAGTAAAAGATGGATATACCCTTTGACCTAGCAATTCCACTCCTAGGTTTAACTCTAAACAAACTCTTGCATATGTGCACAAGAAGATACAAAGAAAGGTGTTCACAGCAATACTGTGACGGCAAAAAGAAAAAAAGGGTAACAATCTCAAATTTCATCCACAGAAAAACAGACAATAAATTACAGTATAATCATATATTGGCACATTATACAAGACTGAAAATGAGTGAAGTATAACCACACCCAATTGTCCAATGGCCTGGGGACTGGCGCCAGGCAAAGTGCTCGACCATTGTCTCGCTTGCTCAGCCTTGTCTCCCACCCTGATCGGCCTGCCTCGAGCTTGTAGATTAACTCCCATCTTGCTCTTATCGATTCACATTCCAGAGGGTTCATGCATAGCCCCCGCAGGGCCAAACCCTAAGGGACAAATTCCAGCTACAACAGGCAGATATAAAAGACACAAGCCCCTACATTGAGCGCGGCTTCTAGGACTCGACCCCCGGAGTCTGTGAACCTGTCCGGAGTGCACCCAATAAAGCCTGATCCCTGTTTATTCGGCTGATTGGCTCTCCAGTCTCTTCTCTGTTTTATTCGGCGGCACCCCCGATTCCTTACACCAATAACATGGACAAATCTCCAACATAATGTTGAACAATGTAATAAAATACAAAAAGTATCATTCCATTTATATAAAGGTCAAAGCCATGACAAACTAAGTTCTTTAAGGATACATATATTTATAATAAACTATAAAGAAAAGCAAATGAAAGATAAACTCTACAATTAATATAGTGATTGGGAGAGTAGATAATTAGCGGAAGGAGAGAGATGAACAGGAAGTGGCACGTGGAGATTCAAAAGTATTGCTAGCCCTGGCCAGTTTGGCTCAGTGGTTAGAGCGTCGGCCTGCGGTCCTGAGAGACCCGGGTTCGGTTCCCGCTAAGGGCACGTACTTCGGTTGCAGTTTGTCCCCGGCCCTGGTTGGTCGTGCGGGTGGCAGCCACTCGATGTGTCCCTTCACGTCGATGTTTCTCTCTCTCTCTCTCTCTCTTCCTCTCTCTCCCTCCCACTCTATCTGTACAAAAAAATGGAAAAATATCCTTGGGTGAGGATAAAAAAAAAAAAAAAAAAGTATTGCTAATATTCTATTTCTTAAGCTGGGAAGTGCATACGTTGGTACTCATTCCATTACTCTTACACTTTACATGTTCCATATGTAATTTTATATTGTACTTCACAATAAAATATTTTTTAAAGTTTCTAAATACTTATGCAATTTTAAACTCAAAGTATTTATTTTACTTGTTCAATTAAGGCATTCCTTGCTTCAGTTGCCTCTTTCAGCAATTTAGGATCACTCATTTCCAAGAGGGGTTTTCTCTCAAAGTCTTTTCCATCATTTGAATTGGGATTCCAAAGAAGTTTTTCTTTATTTACTACATCCACCACTCCTTTGAAAGTTTTCGCTTCACCAATTGGTAACTATAAATCAAAGATTAACATTATTAAATGATCACTCAATTAAAATGGCATTGGTGATAAATCTTATCTTTCCATACTTTCCTCCCAAATGTCATTATTGTTACCATAATCTTACCTATTTTTATTTATATCCCAACATCTTCCAAAAAGGAGTTGAGATAGCTTTAGAAATGTATATGTCAGAATAAAATAAACTGATGAGGAAAATTAGAAGGAGCTGTTACTATTAATCAACCAAATATTAATCCACCAACCTGTAAAAGCAAAGGCTTTGCCTTCAACTTCTCTCTGATGCTTTCAACTGCATAGTTAAAACTGTAGAAAGCAAAATAATTATACAGTAGTTAAAAAATGTTAAGATTTTAAGAACAGGTTTAAGAATGCTCTCTAAAATCAAACCCCTTTTTGTTGTTCCTAATGTTCACCACTTCATAGTTTTCCATAGGACATCTTAAATAAAATTTTACTGTCAATTTCAGATACAATTGAATATCTACCTGAATCCTGCCACATAGGTATTTAAGGTATTTTTATTGTTAGTTTCACTTTAACTAAAGTTTGAAGTTAAGATTACCTGAATCGATCAAGGTCACAGTATATTGCAGTTAGGATTCAAGTGCCAGATCTGTGATTACAAATCAAGGATCCCTCTAATAACTGCATTTGCAATCACACATGGCTACCAGCTTTCTTCCAAGAGCCAGTCTAATTTTTCTATACTTTTATCTTAGGTATTCTGAATGCTATGCTATTCATTTCTGTGCTAACAGTGGGGTTGACTACTTATGGCACACATCATCTTTGGCACATGGGCTGACTTATTCTGGTCCCAATGTCCTTGAGAACCAGCCTAGTATCCAGTCACTTTCTTCCTCATCATCATAGGTGCTGCAAGTGGGTAATGCTTCCATCTACCTCAAGGAACTCCAAATAGAAAAGGGTCAGAACTTCAGCCTCGCACATTTTGAAGGTTGTGTTTTTACTAATCAAGACAAAAGTTCTTTAAACCAACAGCCTTAGAATTACTGTCAAGAGTTACATAAACACAAAGCATACTGTGTGGTTTTAGAAAGAAAACAGTTTATGTTTTGTTTCTGCCACTCTCACACCACAGACCAGCACCTCTCCCTGTCACATTTCCCTAGAATCCTTTATATTCTTGATTCTTTCCCGTTCACATTTTCTCCATATCCCTCAAATATTCTTGATTCTCTAAATTCTGAATTATGTTCTCAGAATAATATATCCTTATGGATTACCACTCTATAGGTCTCTGAGCATTACCACATTTCAGCATTTACTCTTTTGAACTAGATGCAGGTCTCAAAACATCTACATTCTCCTTTCCCAGTTCCCTTCTATGGAGCTATTACCCAGTAGCTAAAGAAAATCAGGGACAAGGAAGAACATTGTTCTCTAAGGCAACTACAGGAAACAATTCTCTAACCGCTACCTTTTACAATGACATGGAGCACCATAACCTTAAGCAATACATACAGCGACTATACCATTCAGCCCTAAATAGAACCACTAGAATCAGCAAGACATCACTGTAAGGATCCTAGAAAATAGAATACAGTCTCCCTACATTAAAGTCAGGATGGTCTGTCATCTATCAGCTCTCTACTAATCTCACGTTATTATTTAAACCTATGAACTAGCTCTTTCTGCTTTTTATAATGGGACTGAACAGAGATTTCATGGAAAATTTATACTTTATAGGGAATAGCTATTTCTTTTTTTTTTTTTTTTTCATCCTCACCCGAGGACATTTTTCCATTTTTTACTCAGAGCGGGAAGGAGATAGAGGAAGAGAGAGAAACATCGATGTGAAAGGGACACATCGAGTGGCCGCCACCCACACGACCCAACCAGGGCCGGGGACAAACTGCAGCCAAGGTACATGCCCTTAGCAGGAACCGAACCCGGGTCTCTGTGAACTGCAGGCTGACGCTCTAACTGCTGAGCCAAACCGGCCAGGGCGGGAATAGCTATTTCTAAATTTAGGTTTTATGCCATTAAAAGCTCAAATTATCTTTTTTCTTTGATAAGCCAAAGAAACACACTCAAATAAATACCTTGCTCCAGCTTTGTCCATCTTGTTTAAAAAACAGATTCGAGGTATCTTGTGTTTATCAGCTTGCCTCCATACTGTGAGAGTTTGTGCCTGAAGCAAAGAGCACATATATAGGACAACAATAACTGTTACTACACATGGAATAAAGAGATCTAAGACTATTATAACATGGAACTGGGCCTTATTCTAGCATGGAATTATTGCCACTGCTCTTACACTTCTAGAGACATTCTTATGCTATCACATTAACACAGCAAAGAATGTAACAAAGTGTGATGAAAAGTATGCCTCAAACTCCAAACAATACTTTGGGTGAACAATACTTTGGGTGAACTAGGCTGCTATCCAAAGAGAATTAACACCTGGGAGGTAATGAGAGTCGTGGAAAGAGGACTTAATCAAGAATCAGACCTACTTTTTATTCAGCTTCCCCTGACCTAGTACATCTCACACAACATTGAACTTATGTTTTCTGATCTTTGAAATATGGACTTTTGCTTTCATTAATAAATTCAGTTATGATTTAAAAAGAATAGCAGTAATCCTGAACAAAATACTAGCAAATCGGATCCAGCAATACATAAAAAAATTATTGACCATGACCAACTGGGATTCATCCAAGGGATGCAAGGCTGGTACAATATTTGCAAATCAATAAATGTGATACACCACATAAACAAAATGAAGAATAAAAACCACATGATCATATCAAGAGATGCCAAAAAAGCCTTCAACAAAATCCAGCATCCATTTCTGATAAAAACACTCAGCAATGTGGGAATAGAGGGATCATATCTCGACATAATAAAGGCCATATATGAAAGACCTACAGCCAACATCATACTCAATGGACAGAAACTAAAAACATTTCCCTTAAGAACAGGAACAAGACAGGGATGCCCACTTTTGCCACTCTTATTTAACATAGTACTGGAAGTGTTAGCCACGGCAATCAGACATGAAGAAAAAATAAAAGGGATCCAAACTGGAAAGGAGGAAGTGAAACTGTCATTATTTGCAGATGACATGATATTATTCATAGAAAACCCTAAAGACTCCATCAAAAATCTACTAGACTTAATAAATGAATTTGGCAAAATAGCAGGATACAAAATTAATGGTATTCTTATACACCAATGATGAACTCACAGAAAGAGAAACTGAAAGAACAATCCCATTTACCATCGCGGGAAAAATATTAAGATACCTAGGAATAAACTTAACCAAAGAAGTAAAGAACTTATTTGCAGAAAACGACAGGACATTCAAAAAAGAAATAGAGGAAGATATAAAAAAGTGGAAGCACATACCTTGTTCATGGATTGGAAAAATTAACATTATTAAAATGTCCATATTACCCAAAGCAATCTATAGATTCAATGCAATCCCCATCAAAATACCAACGACATATTTCACAGAACAAGAACAAATACTTCAAAAGTTCAAATGAAACCAAAAAAGACCCCGAATAGCCACAGCAATCTTGAAAAAGAAGAAGAAAGTAGGTGGGATCACAATACCAGATATCAGGTTATACTACAAAGCAACTGGCACAAGAACAGGCATACAGACCAGTGGAACAGAACAGAGAACCCAGTAATGAACCCAAGACACTATGCTCAATTAATATTTGACAAAAGGAGGCAAGAGCATACAGTGGAGTAAAGACAGCCTCTTTATAAATGGTGTTGGGAAAATTGGACAGCTACATGCAAAAAAATGAAACTAGACCTTCAACTTACACCATACACAAAAATAAACTCAAAATGGCTAAAAGACTTAAATGTGACCTGTGAATCCATAAAAATCCTAGAAGAAAATGTAGGCAACAAGATTTCAGACATTATACGCAGCAGATTTTTCACTGATACATCACCCAAGGCAACAGACCAAAGGAAAAAATGAACACATGGGACTACATCAAACTCAAAAGCTTCTGCACAGCAAAAGAAATAACCATCAAAATGGAAAGGTAATCCCACTGTGTGGGAGACCATCATTGCCAATGATACATCAGATAAGGGGTTAATTTCCAAAATATATACAGTGTTCATACAGCTCAACAAAAGGAAGACAAAGAACCCAATTAAAAAATGAGCAGAGGAGCTGAATAGACACCTCTCCAAACAAGACATACAAATGGCCAAGAGACATATGAAGAAATGCTCAACATCACTAATCATCAGAGAGATGCAAATTAAAACAGTGAGGCACCACCTCACACCTGTCAGAATGGCCGCCATCAACAAATCACCAACAAGTGTTGGCAAGGGTGTGGAGAAAAAGGAACTCTAGTACACTGCTGGTGGGAATGCAGACTGGTACAGCCACCATGAAAAACACTATGGTGGCCCTGGCCAGCGGTTAAAGCGTCGGCCTGTGGTCCGGAGAGACCCGGGTTCGGTTCCTGCTAAGGGCACGTACTTCAGTTGCAGTTTGTCCCCGGCCCTGGTTGGTCGTGCGGGTGGCAGCCACTCGATGTGTCCCTTCACGTCGATGTTTCTCTCTCTCTCTCTCCCTCCCACTCTATCTGTACAAAAAATGGAAAAATATCCTGGGGTGAGGATAAAAAAAAGAAAAAAAAAAAAAGAAAAGAAAAACACTATGGTGTTCCCTCGAAAAATTAAAAATTGAACTTCCATTTGACCCAGTGATCCCACTTCTAGGAATATACCCTAAGAAGCCTGAAATACCAATCAGAAAGGATATATGTTCCCCCAGGTTCATAGCAGCACTATTCACAATAGCTAAGATCTGGAAACAGCCCAAGTGTCCATCAGTAGACGAATGGATAAAAAAGCTGTGGTATGTATACACAATGGAGTACTATGCAGCTGTAAGACAGAAAGATCTCTTATCCTTTGAGACGACATATAGGGACCTGGAAAGTATTACTCTAAGTGAAACAAGCCAAGCAGAAAAAGACAAATACCACTTGATCTCACTTATTTGTGGAATATAATGATCATAACAGTCTGAGGAATAGGGTAGTCCCAGAAACATGGACGTAGGGTACAGACTAACAACCCTCAGAAGAGGGGGTGGCGGGGGGAGGGAAGAGATAAACTACAGAACTTATATGCATGTACACATAACCAATGGACATGGACAACAAAGCCAGGGATAAGGCGGGGGGTGGGGGCAGAGGGTGTCAATGAGGTAAAAAAGGACAACCATCTGTAACAAAAATAAAATAAAAAATAAAATAAAAGAAATATAAAGAATAGCAGTATACTATAAAAATGCTACTGTGGCCACCCTGGCCAGTTTGGCAGTGGTTATAGCATCTGCCTGCGGACAATTAAGTCGCCGGTTCAATTCTGGTCAAGGACACGTACCTCGCTTGTGGTTCTCTCTCACATCGATGCTTCTCTCTCTCTCTCTCTCTCTCTCTCTCTCTCTCTCTCTCACTCCCTCTTACTGTATCTGAAGATAAATGGAAAAACATCCTTGGGTGAGTATGAAAAAAAAAAATGAGCCCTGGCCGGTTTGGCTCAGCGGATAGAGCGTCGGCCTGCGGTCCAGAGAGACCCGGGTTCGGTTCCCGCTAAGGGCGCGTCCCTCGGTTGCAGTTTGTCCCCGGCCCTGGTCGGTCGTGCGGGTGGCAGCCACTCGATGTGCTCCTTTCACGTCGATGTTTCTCTCTCTCTCTCTGTTCCTCTCTCTCCCTCCCACTCTACCTGAACAAAAAAATGGAAAAATGTCCTCGGGTGAGGATAAAAAAAAAAAAAAAAAAAAAATGATACTGTGGCTTGGCTGGTATGGCTCAGTGTACTGAGTGTCATCCAGGAACTGAGAAGTCCTGGTTCAATTCCTGGTCAGGGCACATGCCTGGGTTTCAGGCTCAATGGGTTGTACAGGAGGCAACCCATCGATGTTTCTCAATCTCTCTCACATCGAGGTCTCTCTTTCTTCCTCTCTCTAAAAAAAATCAATAAAAATATATTTAAAATAAAGAAAATAAAAATGCTACTGTGGTAAAAATCATGTATTTTTAATGACTGTTTAAATGTTCATGCAAACTGAAGAGAATTTAAGGAGAAAAAAAATAAGCCAATACCTGTACTTATAAATTGCAATTCTCATATACTACTCTTTTATTTGACTTCTTTTAATTCCACTTTTTGTACACATTAGATATAATTTTTTTTCTTTACTGATTTTAGAGAGAAAGGAAGGGAGAGGGAGAAATAGAAACATCAATGAGAGAACATAGATTGGTTGCATCCTGCATGCCCCCCACTGGGGATTTGGCCCACAACCTGGGCATGTGCCCTGACAAGGAATCAAACTGGCAACCTCTTGGTCCATGGATTGATGCTCAACCTCTGAGCCACATCGGCCAGGCTACACATTAGATATAAATAGTTTGAGTCTATTATATCTGTGCCTTGAAGCAAAGCATAAAAAGTCTGTCATTAGTTCAAATAAAAGCCAATTTGGCCCGGCCGGTATGGCTCAGTGGCTGAGCGTTGATCCATGCACCCAGAGGTCGGCGGTTCGATTCCTGGTCAGGGCACATCCCCAGGTTGTGGGCCCGATCCCCAGTGGGGGGCATGCAGGAGGCAGCCAAACTATGTTCTCTCTCATTGATGCTTCTATTTCCCTCTCACTTGCTCTCTCTCAAAAACCAATAAAGGGAAGAAAAGTTTTTTAAAAAAGCCAATTTATAATTGTCTTTTAGATAAAATTTATTAGATAAATTAAGTCTTATTAGATAAAATTTATACATGTACATAAATAGTAATAAAATACATAGCTCTTAAGTGTACAGTTCAACAAGTTTTGATAAATGAATACACTTGTATAACTACTACCCCAATCAAGATATAGAATATATGGAACCTAAGAAATTTTTATGTCCCATCCTCAATAAGCAACTATTTCTGATCTGTCACCATAGATTCATTCTGCTTATTCTTAAACCTCATATAAACAGCATGGTTTCTTTCACTCAACATGTTTGTGACAATTATTTATGTTGTTGGGTATGACACATTTTTAATGCTAAATTCCTTTGTATAAATGTACTAGTTTGTTTTTCCATCTACCTATAGACACACACAGGTTTGTTTCTAGTTTGAGGCGATTCTGAATTTAGCTGCCATAAACATTCTGAACACATTTTGGCAGACAAATGTTTTCATTCTCTTGGATAAAGATATGAGAAAAGGACTGGGTTATAAAACAGGTATACATTTAACTTTATAAGATACTGCCAATTAGTCTTTCAAAGTGACTACTACATTTTATAGTCCCACCAACAATGTATAAGTTCGAGTTGCTCCACATCCTCAACCAACAATTGCCATTTTTGTGGGTGTGAAACAGTCTTTGTAATTTTAATTTGTATTTCTCTTTTGACCAATGAGACTGAGCATCTTTTCATGTGCTTATTGGCCATTCACATTTATTCTTTAGTGAATTATCCATTCAAGTCTTTCATTCATTTTTAATTGGGCTGTTAGTTTTTGTTATTGATTTGTAGTTCTTCATATATTGTAGACACAAGTTCTTGGTCATAGACATGTTATTGTGAGAATTTCAGCACATACTTCATAAGATAATATTTACCCACATAATCAATAGTGTTACTGCACTTTGGAAATTTAATATTCATATAATCATTTTTCCTCTAGAAGCTATATAGATTGAGTTTATCACAATGATCCACTCCTAAATTTTGTTCATGGTGAGTTCTAGTGGTGGGAGAAAATATATTATAAATTTCCTCCAAAACAAAACATATTAAAAAAATAGGAAGAACAAAAACTCCCATCATTCCACTTGCTAGCTAAAAGCTTGTTTCACAAACAAGAGCCCCATGTCATATATTTAACTTCCTATTCCAGCATATTTCAATCTTAAATAATGCAATTTGCCTGAATGATTAAGTGTCAAATCTATATAAAGAAGTTATAATGACAGGAAGGATAAAACAATTAGGAAATGAAGTGACTCAGAAAGAAATAGAAATAACTGTGTATAATCAACCTTGGACCACAGTGTCAGACTTTATCAAGCAAATACCACTGTCAGAGGTCCTCAGGCAGGACTTGCAATAACTGCTTACTCTCCTCCCCTTCAACTTTTCATTTTGAAAAATTTCAAATCTATAGAACAAGTGAAAGAATACATGTACTCTTTACCTAGATTCACCAAACATTAAAATTTGGCCACACTTGCTTTTTCTCTTTTTCTACAAACATGTGCATGCACACATCATATATGTGTGTGTGTGTGTGTGTGTGTGTGTGTGTGTGTGTGTGTATATATATATATATATATATGCACGGTAGCTATGATGACCCCAACTGGTGCCCTTCCAGATCTACCACTGTGTTCTCTTAAGGTTCAGCTTCTAGTGGGCGGTTCCTAGCTAATGAGTGAACACAGCAGAGGTACTAATATAGTCCTGTTCTGCAAGACAAGGGACTCCTCTAACCAGAAAATTTGGCTGAAGGACTCCACATCAATTTAGCCAAACCCTTTTTGGAACTGTGCTGGTCTGAGACTCTTCCTACCCAACCCTCCTTCCTTCCCCTCTCCTTGTAAGTGTCAAACTGTCCTGTGATCTGAATGTTCTCTCCCACTCTTCTCTTTTCTCCCTTATTCTTTATAGGGATTTCCCCCAATATATCTCCTACACATCTAATCTCATCTTGGCATATACTGCTCAAAAGTACCCAAACACAGTACACAATACTGTGTGTGTGTTTGTGTCTGTGGGTGCGCACGAAAGTGAGAGAGTTGGGGGGTGGAGGTGGGAACTGAACTGTGAAAGCAAGTTGTAGATATCATGACACTTCATTTCTAATTCTTAAGCATATATTTCCTAAGATAAGGCTATTCTCTAACATAACCAATTACAATGATCACATTCAGAAGAATTTAAGTTGATACAATGCATATACTCTATATTCAAATTTCTCTTATTTTCCCAATGATGTCCTTTGTAACTTTTTGTTTCTGGATCCAGGACCAACCTAAAGATCATATATTACATTTTACTTTCCTGTCTCCCTAGAATCCTTTAACCTAGGACAGTTCTCCAACTTTTAACGCCCACCCCAATCACTCATGTTCCTTACGTTAAAATTTTTCTGATTTCTGAAAAGTCCTGGTCATTTGTTTTGCAGAATATCTTTCAATTTAGATTTGACTATTTTCTCACGATTAGATTTGGGCCACTCATTTTTGCTAGGAATACAACATAGGTAATGTTGTGTACTTCTTAGTGCATCCTATCAGGAGGCCCATGGTGTCAAGTTGTTCCATTTTTAGGGATGTTAATTTTTTTTTTTTAATCCTCACCAAAAAATCTTTTTCCATTGATTTTTTTTTTTTGATAGGGTGGGAGGGAGTGGGGCAGAGGAGAAGGGAAGGAGGAGGGACAGAGAGAGAAGGAGAGGGAGGGAAGGAGAGAGAGAGGGAGAAAGACAGAGAGAAATATCGACATGAGAGAGATACATCAACTGGTTACTAGTTGCTGGTTGCTGGTTGCCTCCTGGGGCTGAGAACTGAACCCTTGACTCTGGTCCTCATGCTGACGCTCTAACCACTGAACAAAACTGGCCAAGGCAGGGGATGTTAATTTTGATCACTTCCTTAAGATACTATTTTTAGTAATTTTAAGATTAGAATAACTAACGTAACTTCTATATTCAACATAAAACCATTCTTTTTATTTCAAGACAAATGGGGTACCAGCTAAAGAAAGCATAACTGACCCCAGTAGTGATAATTTAGCAAAAATCTATCTTCAAGATTTATTCAAGAAGATTTATATTAACTCTTAGGTGACAATTCTTAACGGGCTTCTCACATTTCTGCATGTTTTGTTAGGAGAGGCACTGACTGCTTTTATTCTGAATTAGATTTGCAAGAATGTTTGTACAAGTGAACTTCTTCGAAAGACAGAAACAGCATCTCCTTCCACAGCAAAAGGTAGGTTTGCTTACAACCCTGGAAGTAATGTCTCTCTCCAGAGCAAAGAGCAGGCATGCTTACTGCCCGCTGTAAAATACTTGCATTTTCTTTCTTTTTTTTTTTTTTATCCTCACCTGAGGACATTTTTCCATTTTTTGTTCAGGTAGAGTGGGAGGGAGAGAGAGGAACAGAGAGAGAGAGAGAGAAACATCGATGTGAAAGGGACACATCGAGTGGCTGCCACCCACACGACCAACCGGGGCCGGGGACAAACTGCAACTGAGGTACATGCCCTTAGCCGGAACCGAACCCGGGTCTCTCGAGACCGCAGGCCGATGCTCTAACCGCTGAACCAAACTGGCCAGAGCAATACTTGCATTTTCTAAGCAGGTTCCTCTGTTTGCATAGCTGTCATCTGACTCTCTTCAGTCACCCTGTGGGACTTAGGGCTTGAGGAACCAGCACAGGAAAATGCTGATACTCTGGCTACTGCTATTTCTGTGACTAATAAAGTCTTTTATCTCTGACTCAGGAATCTTGTATATTCTGCCAGAATCCATAAAACTATGACAGGCTAATTTGTTAGCGTAAAAATAAGGTAGAATCTCAGACCTTTCACAGTTCAACAGTAACCTTCATATTTCATACAGAGAAGCATATTTTCATTTTATTATGAAGTATCTGACATCACATCTTAATAATAAATTCCAACGTCCTTTAATTATAATTTGATTTATATCAGCTTACCAAATACAGGGTTGTAGTAAACTAAATCTGATACATTCTATTTTTTTTTTTTTTTTTTATCCTCACCAGAGGACATTTTTCCTTTTTTTTTTTTGTTCAGATAGAGTGGGAGGGGAAGAGAGGAAGAGAGAGAGAGAGAGCAACATGGACGTGAAAGGGACACATCGAGTGGTTGCCATCCTCCCGACCCAACCAGGGCCAGGGACAAACTGCAACTGAGATACATGCCCTTAGTGGGAACAGAACCCAGGTTTCTCGGGACCGCAGGCCAACACCCTAACCACTGAGCCAAACTGGCCAGGGCTATTTTAAAAAAAAATCATGCTGTTCTATCTTTATTTTACTCTGGCAATATTTTTAGTTACCTCTACACCAGCAGAGGCATCAAATACAGCCACTGCACCATCCAACACTCTTAGGCAGCGCTCAACCTCCAAGGTAAAGTCCACATGACCTAAGAAAATGATGAGAAATAAAATACTTAAGATCTTTAACAAAAGTGTATTACTCAGCAATCCCACTTTTGGGATAGTCAAACCTCGGTTGTCGAATGTCTCTCGTCTTGAACAATTTGCTTCTCAACCCAACAACCCTTTCATACTGACATCTGTAGGATCAGTCACGCGTCTCTCAGGTGACAAACAAAGGGGAGAATGCGTGAGTATGCGTCAGTTTACTGCTGTTAACAGCTCAGGAAATTGTGTTGTGAATATTTTCATGTTTATTTGCTTTTGTTTCTGCTTATTATTAAATTTTCATTTTTTACTGGACAGTTCATTTCTCTCGTTAAATTTTCATTTACATTTCATGTGCTTTTGTCTTTAAAGTGTTTATAGATTAAACAGTACATTAGATATGTATTGCATATATCAAAGGTTAAAACAGGGAATCATTTTGGGGGTCTGGAACAGTTTAATTTAATTTATATTATTTATAATGGGAAAAAAACGCTTCAGTGTTCAAACAGCCTTTCAAAAAAAAATTAAGTTCGAGAACCAAGGTTCCACCGTACATCTAAAAGAATAGAAAGGTTATCAAAAAGATATCTGGCCCTGGCCGGTTTGGCTCAGCGGTTAGAGCATCCACCTGCGGTCCGGAGAGGCCCGGGTTCGGTTCCCGCTAAGGGCATGTACCTCGGTTGCAGTTTGTCCCCGGCCCTGGTTGGTCGTGCGGGTGGCAGCCACTCGATGTGTCCCTTTCACATCGATGTTTCCCTCTCTCTCTCTCTTCCTCTCTCTCCCTCCCACTCTATCTGGGCAAAAAATGGAAAAATGTCCTCGGGTGAGGATTAAAAAAAAAAAATTAAAAAAAAAAAAAGATATCTGCACACTTATGTTCATAGCATCACTATTTACAATAGCCACGAGGTGGCAGCAATCTTAATGTCCACTGACGGATAAATTATATGCATACAAAATTTTGTATAAAAAATGTGTTATATATGTACAATGGAATACTATGCAGTCTTAAAAAGGAAGGAAATACTGTCACATGCTACAGCATAAATGAACCTTGAATGACTTTATGCTAAATGAGATAAGCCAGTCACAAAACAACAGATATTGTTTGATTCCTCTTATATGAGGTATAGTCAATTCCATAGCTACAGAAGGTAGAATGGTAGTTACCAGGAGCAGCAGGAGGAGACAGAAAAAAATAGTTGTTTAATGGGTACAGAGTTTCAGTTCTGCAAGATGAAGAAGTTCTGGGGGTCTGTTTCATAATAATGTCAATATACTTCACACTACTTAACTGTACACTTTAAAATGGTTAAGAGGGTAAATTTTATGATATATGTTTTTTACCAAAATTTTAAAAAACACACACACAAACAAAAACTTCAAATGATACGGCATCTGTATATTGCTGGAATAATACCATACCTGGTGTATCAATTAGATTGATTCTGTACCCATTCCAATCAAATGTAACAGCAGCTGATTGAATAGTAATGCCTCTTTCTCGCTCTTGTGCCATGAAATCTGTCACTGTGTCTCCGTCATCAACATCTAACCAGGAAAAAGATGACATATTTAGGCTTAATCGCAAGTATATTTTCTTGGTATCTGATGTCTATATTTTCTTGGTATCTGATGTCTACCTGACAATTTGATTTGCTTTAAAAGAACTGTTCCTAAAATATTTGGTTTACTATTTAGAGCCCTTAATCCTTCTCTAAATAAATCTTTGTTCTAGAAAAGTTTTTTCAGCATGATTAGTAATTTTCCCATAAAAATATTTTTTCTGTAACAGATTAAAATCTGTTTAAATAGTTTAATTTTACCGAACCACATATTTCTTTCATTTTTTCCTGGTTTAACTGTCATTATCCCTTCTTCATCTGGTGTTCCTCACATCTGATCTCTTGACCCAAGGCAGAGCAGGGCAATGAACGAGCAGACAGACTCAGATTTAAATCCCAGCTTCATGCTTATTACTCTGTGATCTTGAGCAAGTTACTTAACCTAGTTTGTTAAATCAGGCTTATAAAACCAACCTTGCTGGGTTGTGATAAGAATTAAATGAGACTATATATACAAAGTACCTAGCTCAGTAAATATTAAGTAAATGGTAGCTACATGGAACACTGTAGAGAAAAAATTCCTCCCAAGTTAACCTTTATAAACCCTTCTCATTACTAAATTTTCAAAAAAAAGGCGATGGGGAATTTATTTAGATGCAAATAAAGTCTTGGTAGAATTTCCACAGCATAAAGTCATGGATAAAGTTCATCCTATTGACCAAAGTATCACTGAAATTAATCTGCACTAAAATTCTTTTTTAAATTAACTTTTTTCAATTCTAGTCTACATTCAGTATTTTTGTATTAGTTTCAGGTGTTCAGCATAGTGGTTAGGCAATCATAAACTTTACAAAGTGTTTTTCCCCCTGATATTTCCAGTACCACTTGGCACCATACATAGTTACTACAATATTACTGACTATATTCCTATGCGGTACTTTACATCCTTGTGGCTATTTTGTAACTACCAATTTGTAGTTCTTAATCCCTTCACCTTTTCACTCAACTCCCCAGCCGACCCCCCCTAAAATTCTTAACTTAGGCACTTTATTCTAAGTAAATCTATACAGTGAAAGATGGCAGAGTAGGTAAACGCTGTGCTTGCCTCCTTCCATGACATCAAAATTACAACTAAATCATAGAATAGCTATCATTGAGAACCAACCACCTGAACAGAAGTCCTGTTACTAAGGATATAAAAACAAAGCCAGCCCTGGCCAGTTTGGCTCAGCGACTGGAGCATTGGCCCACAGACCAAAGAGTCATGGGTTCAATTCTGGTCAAGGGCATGTACCTCAGTTGTGGTTCGTCCCTGGCCCTGGTTGGGGTCGTGCGGGAGGCAACCAATCAATGTGTCTCCCTCACATCAATGTTTCTCTCTCCCGACTCTATCTGAAGATAAAAAAAATAAAGTAAAAAAGCAAATTCTGACACATAACACAACACAGATGAACCCTGAAAACATTAAGTATTAAATAAGCCAATCATAAAGGGACAAATACATATATATGACTCCACTTATATAATCACATTTGTAGAAAGAGAAAATAGAGTGGTGGTTTCTAGGGGATGGGTGGAGGAGAAAATGGGAAGTTTTTAAATGGGTATAGTGTTTGGGTTTTGCAAGATATTCTGGAGGCTGGATGCAAACTATGTTAATATACTTAACACTACTAAACTGTACACTTGGAAATGGTTAAGATGATACATTTTACATTATGTGCTTTTCACCACAATTTTTAAAAAGGTAACTTGAAAGTTGCCTGTGCTCTCCTCATTCCAGAATCTTGCTTCAGGAATACAAACTGGGACGTGAGAAGGATTCTTATCAGATTCGTAATTCTATGAGAAAGTCTTGTGCTTTATATTTAGAAACCTATCACCATGAAGATTATAATCCCGGGAGGACAAGAACACCCAGGATTAGAATCTTCATTTGAAATATACTCTATTGAGAACAAATTCCAAGGGTCCAGAGAAATGGTTCTCAACACAGTGCATTTCAAAATCACTGTGTAGCTTTGGAAAAAAAAAATTCATTTCCATTTCTGGTATTATGGACATGATGACCTCCATTTTAAACTTCAAAACAAATTGTTTTACCAGAGATAAAGGCACTTCATAATGATAAAAGGGTTGATTCATCAGAGAAACATAACAATCATAAATGTATATGAGTCAAATACATTTTCAAAATACATGACACCATCCAAGCGTCATACCACAGACTTGTTGAACATCCAGGCCATACCACATACTTGTTGAATCTTAATTTCCTGAGCGGAGCTAGGGTGTGGTTATTTAACAACAAAAAAAGCTACAGGGGGTTTCAAATGTGAATGCCTGGTCAAAATAAATTAAAAACTTAGGTAAATAATACTACTACTATGGGGTAAAAATTAATAAAATCCTTTCTTTCTCTGTATGAGAATTTGACCTCTGGTTAACTTTTTGGTTCCACTAGAAACCAGAAAACAGAAGTATGTCAACGATGTAGCCAGGCAACATATCTGATGGAAAAAAATTTGACTGGTAAGCTACACCTGAATTGGGAAGAACTATAAATGAATTATAAATACCTGATGGAGATACATAGCTTTAGGCTTCCCTGAGTGGAGCATGGCATGGCCCTTGTGAGAAACCCTGAAGCTAGTCCATGGAGCTCTAACAAAACAGATTCATTTTTAGGGGGCGTAAGTCTTCCAAGCCAGGATGGCTCCTGTGAATCTTGTTACCTTGCAATTAAGCTATCAGTTTTGGCTGGTCAAAGAAGACAGTTAGTTCCCAGGTAGTCACGTAGGCTGCTGTAAGAATGCCTATAGAAATAAACACCTATTGCTGGCCTGCTGCTAAGTTATGGTTCCTGTCCTACAGCTTGAGCAGAACAGTGCCCACTGTGGCCTAAAGTAGTCTCATGAATCTGAATATTTAGTTGAACCTAGAAAGACCCTTTTGTGGGGTGTTGCAACTACCTTATTTTTATGTTGTGGTTTAGATAACAGTGCCTCCATGCCATACTCAAGATCTCTAGGTTGACTTCTTTTTTTTTTTTTTTTATCCTCACCCGAGGATATTTTTCCATTTTTTGTACAGATAGAGTGGGAGGGAGAGAGAGGAAGGGAGAGAGAGAGAGAAACATCGACGTGAAGGGACACATCGAGTGGCTGCCACCCGCACGACCAACCAGGGCCGGGGGCAAACTGCAACCGAAGTACGTGCCCTTAGCGGGAACCGAACCCGGGTCTCTCCGGACCGCAGGCCGACGCTTTAACCGCTGAGCCAAACTGGCCAGGGCTAGGTTGACTTCTTAATCAAAATATTTCCCAATATGTTTTTGTTAATGGGGGAAGGGAGGAGAGGGAGAGGAAGAATCCATTCTAACCTCCCAGTGATCTTGTGTATCCAGAATAGTACAATATTCTTTCTGTGGTGGTAGTTTTGCCTGCATCAATATGAGCCATAATTCCAATATTACGGATTCTGTTTAAAAGGGAGAAAAAAAGACATGTATTATAAGGTGAACATTACTAAAATCTTAAAACCCAAATAACTACACTATGGAAATTTTGAAGCTGGTTAGTAGTTCAATAATTTATATAATGGTGTAAAAACTAGAAAAATAGAAAATATGTCATTATCACAGTACTCTGATAAAATAAGTAACAAAAGAGCTAACTACAATCTTGTGAATATTTTATATTTATTTCTATGAAAATTGTGCTGTTCCTAAATTAAAATTTTTATCTTTCAACTGTAAAAAGAAAATAGCTTTTAAGACACATAACAACATGCATTTATAATAAGATAGGGCAAAAAGTTAACAGATATTAGAGCATTCACTAACAATGCTGAATAAAGCCCATGAGAGAAACCTATAACTTTTCTTTTTTTTTTTTAATCCTCACCCGAGGACATTTTTTCATTTTTTATACAGATAGAGTGGGAGGGAGAGAGAGGAAGAGAGAGAGAGAGAGAAACATCGATGTGAAAGGGACACATCAAGTGGCTGCCACCCACATGACCAACCAGGGCCAGGGACAAACTGCAACCGAAGTACGTGCCCCTAGCGGGAACCGAACCCAGGTCTCTCCGGACCGCAGGCCGACGCTCCAACCACTGAGCCAAACCGGCCAGGGCGAAACCTATAACTTTTCATGGCAGTCTATGGAAAAGACAGTATCAATGAAAAGACAACACTTACTTAGTTATAGGAGGACTGATGACAGAATAAAGAGATTTGACATCATTTCCTATTAAACCTAATGGAAAAAGGATTAAAATGAAACTGTTAAGAATTTTTCCTTTAATTTACATAAAAAAGAAAATAATTTTAAGCAAGTACTGTAATTCTAATTAAAGTAATATTCAAGCTAAAAAAAGTCTTATTTCCATAGCACTTATTTTCCTGCAATCTCTAAAGAAAGGTTATGGATGACAATAAAACAAGGTCAGGTTCTTATTTTATTTTATTATTATTATTTGTAATCCTCATCCAAGGATATTCTCCCATTAATCTTCAGATAGAGTGAGAGGGAAGGGGAGAGAGGGAGAAACATAGATGTGAAAGAGATACATCGATTGGCTGCCTCCCACATGACCCCTACCTGGTACGTGCCCTTGATGCTCTAACTACTAGCCAAACCGGCCAGGGCCAAGGTTAGGTTTTTAAATATCAATTTCTAGATCACATCCTTAGAAAAATATAGATTTACCCCAATCTCTATCACCTTCTATAATTCCATAATAGAACTGTAGAATTAGAATTAATGTTCATAAAAATGATCTTAAGGCAGTACATCTTGAATCAAAGAAAAAACATAAAATGCACAGTACTATAAATCTGCATTGTCAAGGCTTGAAGAGTGATCCTCATAACAGCTGATAATGAATGTTTGTACAATTTGGAAACTACCTTCCACTTCAGCAATTCCAAGGACACAATACATTAAAAGTCAGGCTGGGAGGTACTACTGAACAGAAGCTATAATAATCTAATTCTTCTAAAAGGCCAAGTAGCATTTCTGGAATAAAAGAAGTCCGTAATGTCTTACTCCATGCTTAACATGTATTTTATTAATAACATTAAAGTAATAACGCAGTTACATTTATAAATATAATCTATACCTTCCTGCTGTTTAAACCAGTTCCCCCAAATTTCTATCATAAATCAAGAGTACTATTATATTTTGGAAACTTCATGGAGGTTTGAAGATGTAAAGATAATCTGTACTGCTACAGATAAAACTGCACAAGCAAAATACAGAAACCTAGATACACACCAATAATGCTGGCCATTAAATTCACATGCCCTTACAAGTCACAAAGATAATCGATATTTTTATTCCATTTTTCTCACGTGACAAAGATGGTAATGAGATCAAAAGAACGAAACTAGTTTCATGGAGTCTCCCATACGTCTGCTTACTCCGAACACAGGGAGAACATTCAGCACTGGGAGTAGTCAGTTCCTCAGGCTCCCAGCTTTTAATAGTCTATTATCTAACCTAAACTATCCCAGATAAATGTTTAACCAAACAACTCTCAAGAACCTTCAAAACAGATTATTCTGGCAAATCGCTAATGACAGAAAATACTTCTGTATAAAAACCAGAAATGGACTAGAAAATCAATTTACAGCAGGAGTACTCTACAAGTAGATTCACCTGCTAAACTTTTGATCCAGCTACTAAAGCTCACTCAACCTTTCCCTTCATTCAGCTCATTAGGATGACCAGCAGATGAGGAACATAAATAAGTCTATTGGTATTCCCTCCTAGCGCCTGTCAGAATAACCCCAACTCCTAATAATCTCCAGGAAATAGCCAAGAAGTAAAAGGAACCACTATTTGCAAAATGGCCGCAGCCCCCTAATAAGGGAGATGTTACAACTGAGATAGAGATCGGGGGTGGGGAGAGGAGGAGAAGGAAGAGGAAGAAAGGGAGAGACGCAGAGGGGAGAGTCAGAGGAGGAGGGGGGGAGGCAGAGAGAAGCAAGCATAAAAGTAAGCAAGCAGTTTAAGTAAAACTAGAAGAATCTAACAGTATTACCTGGCAGGGAACTGTAATTTTTCCCAAGAGGTACATGTGGCTTTATTCTTTTTAAACTTGCTCTTATTCTAAAGCAATACATATTCTAGTGAAGAGAAAAAAGAAATGACATTCATTTTACGTTAGCACAATTTAGTAATTTTAAGATTGTAACTATGCTTTGTCAGAGGACAAAACACTTTGAATCTCCTTAAAGCAGCCCCAATTTACTAACTCCAATTCTTTTTCAGAGTGACCACCTGGATTTTGCTATTTTGAGCTGAACTTAGAGCCGGTCCTCCTAGACCTGCAGGGTTAGCATCACAGGGAACTTGTTAGAAAGACAGACTCTTGGGACCCACTGCAAACAAGAGAATCAGAAACTCTGGGGATGGAGCAGAACGATCTGTGGTTTAACAAGCTCTCCAGGTGATTCTGATAGCTACAGTTTGAGAACTAAGATCCTGAACTTTCCAGAGATTAAGGTTAAAAAGGTCTCTCATCCCGGATACTTCTTGGTTCTCCTCTACAGCTGCTAAGAGCTGGTGGGGCTCATGAAATCCAAAACCATCAGCTGTTCTCAGGATTTATAACAGTGGAGCATTAAAACAAAACAAAACAATCACCTAGAGAGCTTTTACGGAACTGGCATTTTACAACCATTTTTAAAAATATGTTTTTATTGATTTTAGAGAGAGGGGGAGGGGGTGGGGGAAACATCAATGAGCCCCGGCTGGTTTTGTTCAGCAGTTAGAGCATTGGCCTGCAGTCCAGAGAGACCGGGGTTCGGTTCCCGCTAAGAGCACGTACCTCGGTTGCAGTTTGTCCCCGGCCCTGGTTGGGTCATGTGGGAGGCAGCCACTCAATGTGTCCCTTTCACATTGATGTTTCTCTCTCTCCCTCCCACTCTATCTGAACAAAAAATGGAAAAATGTCCTCGGGTGAGGATTAAAAAACAAAAACAAAAACAAAAACATTGATGAGAGAAAACATTGATCAGTCCCTACTACGGATTGTGCCTGAAACCCTTTTTGGTGTATGGGATGACACTCAACCAACTGAGCCACACCAGCCAGGGTGGGACTGCCATTTTTAAAAACTGCCCAGGTATCTTCTAATGTTCCCACATAGAGGCTGAATATTCTCCACCCTAATGTATCCCTAGACCACTAGATACACATTTAATGGCTGACAATATATTTAGAACTGTTACAGTTAGTGTATGTAATGATTTGGGGCTGCCAACCTGTCTTATATAACATCATGAAATGAATGCCTGTGCCTTCTATATCATTTCTACATTAGCTATGAAGTTTCTAGCAATAAAATACTATTATTTTAAGAAAATATTTTTTAAGAGTAAAGAAAAGACTCAAAGTTATTAAAATTTCCACCAAGATAATGACCAAGGTAAGACAGGGTGGGTGGTCTGAAAGCATCAGCGATGAAAACAGTGAAGAAAAACTTAACTCTTTGGGCCACTAATGACCTCAAAATGTAACACAGAAATAGCCAGTCTTCAAAATGCTGCACAGGTGATTTTAAAGCAGCAAATGAATTTATAAATTAATGATGAGGCATGCTTCTTCTTGGCCACAGGCTCTCCTATACCTGTTATGACACTGCTAAAGATGAAGACTAATGTGTGTGTGTGTGTGTGTGTGTGAATATATGTAAATACACACACATAAGCCTTTTGGGAAGTAAAGTAACTGAAGTTGTGGAAGTACATTTAATTTTATAAGAAAAACTTACATTAATGTGCAAGCTGGATATTTTCTTATGATTCACTGCAAATATCCTCAAGTTGGACAACATCTTGGCCTCTAAACTGTTATTCTCTGAAAAAAAAAAAAGCAAGATTATAAAACTAAGTTTACATATTACATGTCAGTAATACATATGTAAGTAAGGCATATGTAGTATATATGGTAAAAATTTATTATTATTATTTTTTTGTATAACCCATGGACAATAGTGAGATGAAGGTCAGGGGGTGGGGTGGGGGAGCAGAGCGGAGGGGATCAATGGGGAAAGGGGGGGCATCTGTAATACTTTCAACAATACAGATAAATTTTAAAAAGAATTAAAAAGTAGGAACAATATTTTTAGCTATCAAAAATAGTGCATTGTTCAGAAAATGGAAATTGTGACTAAACACGAGGAATACAGTTCCAAGCTTAAAATGCCCCTTGTTTTTTTCAACATGCTTTTAATTCTTCAAGAAAGATGTGACCTCTTCAAACACGACACACAAATGGCCAAGAGACATATGAAAAAATGCTCAACGTCACTAATCAGAGAGATGCAAATTAAAACAACAATGAGGTATCACCTCACACCTGTCAGAATGGCCACCATCAACAAATCATCAAACAACAAATGTTGGTGAGGCTATGGAGAAAAGGGGACTCTAGTACACTGCTGGTGGGAATGCAGAGTGGTGCAGCCACTATGGAAAACGCTATGGTGTTAACTCAAAAAATTAAAAATTGAACTGCCATTTGACCCAGTGATCCCACTTCTAGGAATATACCCTAAGAAGCCTGAAACACCAATCAGAAAGGATATATGTATTCCTATGTGCATAGCACCACTATTTACAATAGCTAAGATCTGGAACAGCCCAAGTGTCCATCAGCTGACAAGTGGATAAAAAAGCTGTGGTACATATACACAATGGAGTGCTATGCAGCTGTAAGAAAGAAAGATCTCTTATCCTTTGAGACGACATGGAGGGACCTGAAAAGTATTATCCTAAGTGAAACAAGCCAAGCAGAGAAAGACAAATATCACATGATCTCACTTATTTGTGGAATATAATGAACTAAACAAACTGATGAACAAACTAGACCCAGAGTCATAGAAGTTGGGTACAGACTGACAATCCTCAGAAGTGGGGAGAGGGATAAACCACAGAACTTAAATGCATGTATGCATAACCGATGAACATAGAAAACGAAGCTGGGGATGTTGTGGGAGAGGACGGGGAGGAGGGTGTCAATGGGGGGAACAAGGAGAAACATCTGTAAGAAAAATAAATTAATTTAAAAAAATGTGAAGATATAGAAAAAATATTTATTGAAGTTATAAAAACATCATATCAACCAAAATTTTTTTGTAAATGTATAGAATTAAGTATAGAAAGGTATACATCTACATGTTGGTAATCTTTCATTGGTAATATAACGTTTTGATTATCTGTATACTCTGATTTTTCTACCATAAATATGTAAAAATAAAATCATGTAAAAAATATACAAAAGCAAGTCCTCTTCTATAATTAGAAACTAAGCATCTTTCATTTTAAAATGTTTACTAAATAGCCAGTTTCATGCTAAATAGTCACTGTTTCAAGTACACTATTAAAGCTATGAGAAATGCATGAAAGCATCTGATTGAATGGGAAGACAAAAACAGAAAAGGTTAAACCATTGTGCCCAGTGTTACATAAGAAGCCATGGCAAAACTCATTATTAGTCCTCTTAAGTGTGCTTTCTTCTGTATCTTAACAGAAACATTCACTATCCATGTTCAGGAAGTCACCAAATACTTTTGATTTTATTTCCTAAATATATCTTGAATCCATTCCCTTTTCTTCAATTCCAACACCAAGATTCAGGATGTTTTCAAAATCATGCATATTAGATCTATTCTAAAATGTAACAATGAATTCTAACATAGCAGAACAGAAAAAGTTCACTAATATGGTTTGATTCCACACTGCAATTAACCTTTAAGAAACTACCACTTGTCAAAGCCTGGTACAGCATCTAAGATGGTCCACAATTTTCTGAAAAGATAATTAAAATAACCATTCCTTTTCCAACCACATATACACATATGTATGTATGAGGCTGAATTTTCTTCTTACACATCCAACAAAAATAAAAAAGATATGTAGTAATATAAATACAGAAGCAAGTATTAGATGCAAGGTATTTTCTACTAAGCCAGACATTAAAGAGACTTACAAAACTGTAAAGCAATGTAAAACACTCTTCAAATTATTTTTGTTTTGGAAAATCGGCAGTTTTATAAAACAGTATTACTTATATTAACACTTAATGGATGTATTAATTTTTTTTCTTTATTGATTTTTAGAGAGAGAGAAAAGGAGAGGGAGAGAGAGAAACATCGATGAGAGAGAACATCGATTGGCTGCCTCCTGCATGCCCCCCACTGGGAATTGGGTCCACAATCTGGACATGTGCCCCGACCAGGAATCAAATCAGAGACCACATGGTGCATGGGTCCATGCTCAAACTGAGCCACACTGGCCAAGCTGAATGTATTACTTTTTAATAAATGACTAAAATATTTTAAAGTTTTGTTTTAATTTCCAGTATTTGAATATCAATTATAACCCACATAAACAAACCTCTCTGGAGTTCTGAATCATTTTTAAGTGTGAAGGTTTCCTTCAGACCAAAAATTTTGAAAAACTTTTTCAAACTTCATGTTTCCCAAAAAGAATGCCCATGATTACTCTAGGTCATAAACCAAAAAAAAAAAAAAATTGCTTACTATATAAATATTAGAAAAAGAAAAAAAAAAAAAACAAAACCTGTGATTTTATAGTGTTATTTAAGATGAAGTTAAATTAGATAACACTGAATTAACTTATGGCAAAATATTAAGTACATAACAGCACAGGTGACATTCAGCTATGACCAGTCTTAAAAGGTAGGACTCAAATCACTAAAGTGGGAAATACTGCTTTAATCTTTACACATATCCTTCAAATAAACATCTTGTCACTTCTTTACTTAAGTTTTAACATGACAAACCTATCCCCAACTACCTTCGCAGCTTTGTACTCTCCTATTCCCTACTCTACACCAGGGATCTCTAGCCAAAATTCCCAGAAACACCATGCTCTGACACCTTTATACCTTTGCGTGTGAACACGGCTAAAAGCATCCTAAAATCCCAAAGCCCCTACCTGGCAAATTTCTATTCAAACTTCGAGTCTCGGCTTGGAAGACTTTCTCTGTGTTCTTATAACACTTGAAATTCATAATTACTAATGACAAAGATGATCTTTACAAGTAATCTCCACTATGTGAGCTCCCCAAAAGGAGGGATCTTCTACCAGCAGTGCCTAGCACAACACCTCTAACGTGTTTGTTTGTGTGTTGTTTTTTTGACCTATGGTCATTTATGGCACTCCAGTGACTTTCTTCTTCCCTGTGGGTCAATGAACTTCAAGGAAAACGGTTTCCTACCGGTGTTACCAGTTGAGTTATTCTATAAGGCCGAGACCTCCGTGGGCCTTGGAGAATACTTCGGTGCTCACTAAAAGATGTTTAACCCTGACGGTATAAGGGCGGTGCAAGGTCAGCGGTGCCCAAGGCGGGGCGAGGACTTAGACGCGCGGGTGCCGCACCGCGCGGTTCGGTGCCCAGCTGGCACTCAGCTGCATCCCGAGGCCGGCTTTTTCCTTCCAGGCTATTGAGAGCAAGCCGTTCAGGCCGCGACAAAGTCTGCGGAAGTTTCAAGTCGCAACGTCCCCACCTACCTCGGTGACCGCCCCGGTACCTCCAGAACCGAACAAATATCTCCTGCTTCTGCCCTCACCCGCCGCCGCACCAGCCGCATCGCAGCACTTCCCGTGGTGCACCACTCAAATGCCTCCTCCAGCAACTTCCGCCCTGCTCGCTGAAAGCGGAGGACAGAAAACCGGAACGCATACGTCGCACTTTTGCTGGAGTCGGTCGTTTTATACGTGTCCCTTTCCTGTCGCGAGTTGCGAAGAGTTGGCTTGCGGTTCCCTGCGGCCCGAAGGTTGAGAGCTTCTAGGCGCCGTGGGGGACTGCACCCGGCGGCCCGGCGGCCGTAACCATGGTGAGGAGGTTGCCTCGGGCGCTCGCTACACTGGGCGTCTGGGTGGTGGGGCCGAGGGTCCCGGGGCGCTGGGGCTGGGGGTGAGTGTGGTAGGCGGAAGTGAGGTACTGCTGAAGGGAATGAGGGTAGATTCCGGGGGTCTGCTCCGTGGAATGAAAAAAAAAAAACCTTAACACGGGACACAGAGTGGGGTTATTTGCCAGAGCACAAGCTTTAGAGCAAGACAGGTTTCATTCTGTTACATTCTGGTTTCACATGTTGCGTGGCCAATGGCGCCAGAGCCTAGCGATAACCCTATACCCTAGGCGTTCATCCGGCCACCACCTCACTTCCCTGCTGAGGAAACTGAGGGCATGCCTTGGCACTGGCCAGGCATCTGATGGATTGTGTAGTGGGCCTCACAACCCAGACCTGACTGCCGGGTCCTTCCCTCTACCTCTCTAATCTGTTTCTCTGCAACATGGAAGTCCACATACCTTTCGCACGGTTGCTACAAAGTTGATGTGATACTAGTTGAAAACACCATACCTTGTTGTTACTTAGCATTATTCTCCGTGGAGTTGGCTTGTATCATTATTTTAGTTTTGCAGTCTTAAAAATACAAAGACTGTATTTTGGGGCTGCGTGTTTAAACAACATTGGCATATAAAATAAAACAGGCACTTAAAAAACAAAAGGGGATCTCATCCATTACTGGTGAAATGCAAAGTACTACAGCCACTTTGGGAAACAGTTGGCATATGTCCAAAGAGTTATGTGCACTTGTTTATTCGCTAAAAACGGGGGTGGGGGTGGGGGTGGAAGGATGGACTATCCATCACTGGTCCATGGATGCACAAACATTGGTATATCCACAGTGGAATATTACTTGGCATTTTGAAAAAGGAATGAAGTGCTAATACATGCAACGACGTGGGGAATCTCAAAAGCCTTATGCTGAGTGGTAGAACCTAGATGCAAAAAGCTACATACTGTATATTCCATTTACATTTCATTCTGGGAAAGGCAAAACTAAAGCAATAGAAATCAGATCGAAGGTGGCAAAGGAGGATTGACCTCAGTGACACAAGGCAACTTCCTGGGGGAATGGAAACATTCTCTATCTTGACTTCGGGGGTTAAACAACTGTATAGTTTGTCAAAACCTAGAACTGCATGAAATCCTGAATCAGATCATCCCTTTTGTGGTTCATTGGATTTCGGACAGTGAACAGTAACTTTCACTGAGATTATTAGAGGTAGATCCTGATGCCTCATATCCAGGATAAAAATTTATTTAATGTATATCATGTGAATAGGTTTAATACTGCACAAGTTATTTAAGGAAGAGAACATTTGGATGACATAAGGTATTTCATATATTGCTCAAAAAAAAAAAAGAATGTTAACGTTTCTTGTATTGTTATAGCCACAAAACGAGTATATTGAGTTACACCGTAAGCGCTATGGATATCGTTTGGACTACCATGAGAAAAAGAGAAAGAAGGAAGGTCGAGAGGCTCATGAACGTTCAAAGAAGGCAAAAAAGATGATTGGTCTGAAGGCTAAGCTCTACCATAAACAGCGCCATGCTGAGAAAATACAAATGAAAAAGACGTAAGTGATTATTTGTTGTAGCAAGCTAACCTCTTTTGAGTAGTTATTAAAAATGATAATCTTGAATCTTTTTCCTTCTTGGTAGTATCAAGATGCATGAAAAGAGAAACACCAAACAAAAGAATGATGAAAAGACTCCACAAGGAGCAGTACCTGCATATCTACTGGACAGAGAGGGACAGTCCCGAGCTAAAGTACTTTCTAATATGATTAAACAAAAACGAAAAGAGAAAGCGGTAAGCAATAAAAAAAAAATAAAGATTTTTTTTTTCAGGAGAATTACTTAAATTTAACATTCTTAGCTTGTTTCTTCAATTGAATTGGAAACATGAAGTCTGACTATTCCCACTTAGATGCTGAAGTCTTCGTAGACTTCATTTTGTGTAAAATGTTTAAGTAATAAAATTGCTTTCTCATCAGCCAGCACATTTTAGTATTAGACATTTTCTGAAAATTTATTAGAAAACTACATATCTTTAGTTTTTTTTAAATTGTGTAAAAACAAAAAGTGAGTAAGCAGTGAATCTCAAATTTAGTATTTTAACAACTTCCTATACTTAACAACGCCTAATGCTGTGCTGTTGTGGAGAAGAAAACAACTGCTTCTTGCTTCAGTGTGTCAAATTGGATAAAAAGTTGGATAGTGGAAAATATCCCCAAGTGATTGAACGTAAATTAAAATTTAGCAGTTTTAAAAAATATTTCTGTATTGCACTTAGTGTTAAATTCTGCTAAAAACAGAGAAAAGAGGCATAGATACTATTTTTACATACCTGTGGATAGACTGACAGAAATCCAAGTAGCAGCAAAATATGAGGTAACTATAATTTTTAGAGTCTTCAAATTTGATTTTTAAAATGTTAATGCTTGTTTTTTTGGTGTGTAATTATCCAAAATTAGAATGGTAGAACTTGAGCACCAAAAGAAAACTTAAAGATTATAAATTAATCCTCCTTATTTTATAGGAGTCTAGGAGGTTGTAAATCATTCTGCATGGTCACATATCTGTGAAATGGTAGAGTAGCCTCTAGAACCTGAGTTAGTAATAAATCCAGAATTCTTTCTACTGCCTTGCACTGCTTCCGTTTTTTCACAGAATTTGCATTCCAAGGAAGTACAAAATATCTGGTGATTGATTTTGTCTTACTAGTAATGTAACCTAAAAATCCAACTAAGGTCGAAATACAAAGATAAATTAAGAGGTTGAGACAGGCTTCCCGTTTTACATTCTGAACTTAGTAATAAGCACACATACCGCCTAAAGAAGTCACTGCCTTGTTACACGTGGTATTTTTCATCCATAACAAAGCATTAAGATTTTTAGCTTAAACAAACCATTTTATATGCTTATGATATGTAAACTAGTTCCAATTATTTGGGGGTTTGTGAGGAGACGGTGTAGACCTCTAAAAAACATTGAAGCCAAAATCTTGTTAAGGAAAAAAAGTGAATTACTACTTTGTACAACTAAAACATGCTTGACTTCTTATTCTCATTGTCTTTTACTAACAATACACATTTAAACTGTGGTCTATTTTTAGGGAAAATGGGAAGTCCCGCTGCCCAAAGTTCGTGCCCAAGGAGAAACAGAGGTATTAAAAGTTATTCGAACAGGAAAGAGAAAGAAAAAGGCATGGAAGAGAATGGTTACTAAAGTCTGCTTTGTTGGAGATGGCTTTACCCGAAAACCACCTAAATATGAAAGATTCATTAGGCCAATGGTAAGTCCCTTGCAACAGTGCAGTGGCTTGAATGTTAGTTCCTGTGTTAAACTGGATAAAGTACATTACAATTTCCTGAAGTTCCTAAATTGATACAAAAAACAGGTTGAAAGAGATTTTTAAGGCTATTTTTGTTATTTTAACGATAGGGATTGTTTAGGATTTTTCTACTACTATCAAAAATCTTCAGCTTCAGAAAAGATTTGAGATGAAGAATTTACATTGTCAGTGAATCTTCACTTCTAAAAATTACATAGTAGAATCTTCATTTTCCACATGAAGATATTTTACTCATTCAATAAATAATCTATATATTTGTCTGAGAACAGTTAAAAAACTTAATGACTTTTTTCAAGAGTCAGTTCTGGTTTAGTAAGGGTAGTAACTTAATGCTTCTGAACATGTTCAGTGTGCAATTATTTCAAAAAGAAAAATGAACATAAAAGTGGGACTTGACTTTCTGTTGACAGCAGTAATGGTCAAAACCGCTCCGCACCCCCTATATATCTGAAGATGCACCTTTACAAAATCCTTTAAACAGACCGAATTATTCTTCCAACTAGATATCCACCCTGCCTAGAGAAACAAAGAATCAGGAAAGTTGGCAGTGTAACTCTAGCTCTCAACCTGAATAATTTTTTTTTTAATCCTCACCTGAGGATATTTTTCTATTGATTTTCAGAGAGAGTGGGAGGGGGAGAGGGGGAGAGAGACAGACAGAGAGACAGAGAGAGAAGAAACATCTACCAGTTGCCTCCACAACCCCAACCAGGGCATAGGATCAATCGCAACCAAGGCACATGCCCCTGACTAGAATCGAACCTACAACTCCCTGGTCTGTAGGCCGACGCACTAACCGCTGAGCTAAACTGGCCAGGGCACAACCTGAATTTTTAATGGATTAAAATGTCAAGCAGCTTATTGCTATAAATAGAAATTCTATTAGAACACAGCCATGCCTTTTCATTTACATATTGTCTGTGGCTATTTTTCTCTGCAGAGTTTGAGTGGTTTCAACAGAGACCATGTGGCCTGCAACACCTAAAATGTTCATTTAGGTCATTTACAGAAAACATCCACCCATCCCTTGATTACATCATGGACTCCCCTCGTTTTGATTTCATATTCATAATCTTCTAATACATTTTGGTAACCTTATCAGTTCTATAGGGAGAGAATATACCAGTCAGGCTGTTGCAGGCTTTCTGTAGTTTGGCAGATATATATCTTATTGTGAATTAATCAGATGGTATTCTGAGTATAAGTTTCTTACCAGTTTAATTAATGAGTCCTTTACTAAGAACTTGATTTAGGAGCATTTGCCCCTTACCTCTATATAAGTAATTTTCATACTTAAGAGACTGCAAAGTGTTGTGGCTTTTTAACCTGCTACACTTCTAAAGACCATTATCCAGGTGAGT